ACACACACACACACACACACACACACATACACACACACACACACACACACACACACACACACACACACACACACACACACACACACACATATTTCCTGGTAATTAGTGCCCCGTTCTGACAGTGTTTTCTGTCCAAACTGTCGAACTGTGTTTTGCATGTAACTCAATCTGCAGAGCAAGCTTCTTCATCCCGGCCGCGGGGCTGCTTGAGATATAATGTCGGCTTTGACAGGCAGCCCAAGGTTGAAAGATGTGTGTGTGATAGTTTGAGGGAGAAGGTTGTGTGTGTGTGTGTGTGTGTGTGTGTGTGTGTGTGTGTGTGTGTGTGTGTGTGTGTGTGTGTGTGTGCGTGTGTGTGTGTGTGTGTGTGTGTGTGTGTGTGTGTGTGTGTGTGTGTGTGTGTGTGTGTGTGTGTGTGTGTGTGTGTGTGTGTGTGTGTGTGTGTGTGTGTGTGCGTGCTTAGTTAGAGCTATATCCTGCGTGAGCACTGGATGTTGGGAAAAAGTGTGTTTTTTTTAATTGCATGTGGCATTACTTGATGTATTTTCGTACGTGTGTGTGTGTTCCTCATTCCGCTCGTGTCCTCTGCCCTCCTCGTCTTTGTGGCTAGCTGTGGGGATCAAGTGCGTTACCATGGCTGCGGCAAGCCTAGCGCCCCTGGAGACGACACGTTAGAGAGAGAGGGGATCTTCAGCGGCCCAGAGTCGGGCGGAGGGTAAATGAGAGGCTCTCATGGGGCCCCTCAAAGAGCGGGCCAAGTGCAGCAGGGGAGAAGCCTGAAACCATATACAAGTTGGACCGGGAATAGTTACAAAGCTAACACACACACTCAGCTAACTAACACCAATTTTCCAAAGATTTTCCAATGAAAATAATAAAGATTTTAATAAATATCATGGTTGAAATAAAAGGATTAAATGATAAAATGACCGCCACCGGACTCTGGATAAGCGGTTCACATTGGATCGATGGATGGATATACCAATAAAACGCCTCTATTCGCCCTTTCTCACAATTTTGAGTATAATATCACCTCTTATTTTTGAATATTCATCTAACAGAGGCTTTTAAAATTGGCAAACAAAGAGCTTCTTAATACTAAAATAACCATATTTCTTAAAGCCCTGTTAATCAGGTATTCCCATTATTTAGCATTGAACCTCAATGAAGATTTCAGGGCAGTGATCTCCATGTAGTTTGTGGAGTTGAGATGACTACATTACTTACATTGATGGCTGACATTACTTACATTGTCACACGTCAGATATTTGGTTTGGATACTATTCTGATTGGCGTGACTGACACGGTGTGTTTGGAAGTATTCGTCGGTGTCACTCATCCATGCAGTGAGTGCTTGTGAGCATGTGTTTTAAAGTGGTGTAGCGTGGGAAGTGAGCCAGCAGCAGTGATGTACTAACAGCTGCGTTAATGCTCCTTATCCCCTACATATTACACACACATTACACAGACACCTTAAATACATGTAGCGCTTACACACTGTGTGTATACATGTCAGTCTATGAGTTATCAGCCCATGTAACAGCTGCACCCCGAGTCGTATGGGTTGCGGGTCCATTATGAACGATATCTGGGTATCTCCGCCTCTCCTGTGTTTTGCTTCCTGTCTTTATCTCATCCCTTCCTCGCTGGATTGAACTCAAAAGAGATAAGATTGTAATCAGTTAAACTACAGATTCCTCTGTTAGAAGAGTCACCAATAGAGAGAATGTATTTATCAGAAAAACTACCTTTTGTTGCCCTTGAAAAGGTTTTCTACGGTCATCACACTTTCCCTCTCATTTTTCACTTTTTTGACATTTCAGGAAGTATATTCATCAATATGACACGTACAGGCATGAGATTGATACACATCTTATCCTCTCCCTCTTGGAAATAAATCAAAGAACTTCCAAAATGATGTACTGCTCCTTTAAAATGCTACTAATCCTAGTGTGAAAGTAGTTGTTATAAGAAGAATTAGGGAACTTCTTCTCTGTTGCCCCTTAATATCTTCAAATCTATAAAGATGTAGAATGACAAAAGACAGGCAAGAAATATGTCAAAAAGTAGAATATCGAGCAAAATCTCAAGCGTTTTTCCCACTGAATCAGAATTAATATATATAAAATAGTTTCCCTCTTAGGAGACTCACTACAACAAAACTCACTTACAGCACGCTGTCCAATCACAATGATTATTTATTACACGTCTGCTCTCTGCTGTGAATTCTGGCGCACTAGAGTAGACTCTTTCCCCTTCTCTTATGCCCTTTTCCTTTCTATCGGCCCTGTTGAGCATCTCTGAAAACTGCTCTTTGTCTTCAGGTTTTCATTGTTCTCCTCCTGCTGGCGGCATTATACCAACTTATTTCCAGCTTTGCCACTTTCTGAACAAAAGAGCTCTCTCTGTGTGTAGTCTCCACTCACTGGAGCAGTTCCCTTGATCACAGGCTTTTCTGATTTGAATAATGCTGCTTGTGCCAACTGTTTACTTGTTCACACGTGATGGTGGAAGGGGTTAACACAAGTAGACACCTGTAGATAGAGAGCTGGGGGGGGGCGGCTAGCCAGTGATAGGGGTGTGGTTTCCTACTACTATGATTGCTTTACATGCCCCACATACAATACCGTTATTAAAAGATACTAACAAAGGGAAAAGCATGTGACTAAACAGCATGAACCCAGGCTCTGTACATTTAATTCAATTTGTAACTTCTTCATTGTAAGTACAATTATGATAAAGTAACATTAAAGCTGCAATTATTGAACTGGTGCTTAGTGGAATGACCAAAATGAATCAGCAATTTTTATAATAATTAGTTATTAATTTCCCCAGTTTTTAAAATGTGTTTGTCTTATATTATAGTAATTTAAAAAGTTTGGGACAAAAATACATTTTGAAGATGATGGATGATAGTTTTTCCTTATGTTTGAATAAGTCGGAGTCCTTTATAACTTTAAAACCATTACTTTAACATGTTGCTAATAACAACATCCAACTAATTATGTAGAACCGCAGAACAATTACGATTTTGTATGGTAATGTTTACATCTTGGATTGCATTACATGTAGAAAATAAATCAGATTTATTAAAGATGAAAAGAAGAAAACAGCAATGGCGTCAGAGTATTGTTCACTCTCCTTTCCTGCTTGTCTTTATTGAAAGTGTGAAAGTGTTTTTGGTGGAAACAGGGCATTTCTAAGGGAGTGGCAGTGATAAACTCCCTGTGGGTTGGAAAATATGCCCGGACCGGAGTCCACCTGAGCCAAAATAGACACTGCTTCCCTCTGTCGCTCATTTTTACCCGTCTGGCCGTTTCTCTTTGTCTTTCCCTACCAGGCTCTTATTTCTGGTCCGTCTCCTTCCCTATTTTTGTATGTAGCTTGTTCTTTTTCCCCCTCCTCCTTTGTTTGCAGCGACCCACCAGTATCTCATTACTCTAATCCTATTTATGAAGCAGAAAAACACATGCACACACATTGTCCATCTATGTATGCCTCTCTTCTCCTTTCTCCATCTGTCCCGCTTCTTTTGTCAACTTTCTTCAACATCATATGAAAGATAGCAACACAACACAATGTGTGAGATAAGATAATAATAACAACAACAACAAATGATGTTTGTCTTTTATTTCGTTTCTTTGAGCTGTAAACTGTAAATGCAACCAGCGTGGTTTAAAATCTCTTTTGCTCTCACAGTCAAACCTCTAAACAGTGTCTTATGTAAACACTGCGCTGTGATCATATCTGGGATCTGTAGTCCCATTGTTGTGTGTTGTTGTAGTCATGAGATGTTGATAGCATATAGCGGTACCTAATCACTTTTGATCCATCGTAAGCCACCCACAGCACGAAAGTAAAATGTTTATTGTGCAAATTCACTGTACATATGTTAGTACAAATTGCCTTATCAACTTTATTCATCTCAAGAATACCATTTTATTTTCTTATTTCCCAAAAATGGCTCCAAATTGTAGCTTTCAGGTTTATGAAAGGAGTGTAAAGAGGTGTTATTTAATTGGTGGAAACATTTCTTTTATTGAACTCCTTAAATTCCTCCTGCTTCCTGTTCCAATGCCTCTATTGTTGAGTAATACGCTCCACTGCACTTGGGTCTCAGGTTAGATATTGCCAAAACTAAAGCGATTTGGTGGCCCGATTCCCTAAGCTGATCAACATTTTCTAAGATCAACGTTTGTCGGCTACGATTCTTGATGGAGGAATTAGCCTACTTTGTAATCATTAGGTGCAAGATAATGTACAATGGGCTTTTTGTGGTTCTTAAGCCATTAGAAAACGTTGTACTTCTACTACAAGTCGGCTAAAGTCAGAGAAACATTGTTTGCGTAGCTCTGACCTGCACTGATCAAGCATCGAAACTCAGCCAAGTTTCTGGAATTGAAAGAAATCAAGCATTACACGTTATTACTTATTAATTGCATTGATATTTACCATCTCAATACACTGTAAAAAAGTTAATTTGGAGCAAAAATGCAATTCCATGCAGTGTAGAGTAGTGGTTCTTAAAAGTTTTCCTCAAACGCACCTCCACAGCTAGATGAACTCATTTACCCCTAGATTTACACCACCTGTCATTTATTTGAATCTGGATATTTTTTCAACTATTTATGGTTTAAGTTGATGTGCCAATCTTTTTTTTACATACAATTGAACTGTCTGATATAAGTAGGTTTGCTTAAGTTTGCATTTTTTAAAGTACGTAGCTTTTCTGCTAGTATATGCTATCGCTATCAATAGTATATCCCTTAAATGTAGCTTTTTAGCTTTCTTTTATTTCACCATTTATCCATTACTGTTAGCTAAATCTTTCTCTTTGCTTCTCTGCTTGTTCGCTATTTTCCTTGTCTATTCCCAACTGATGGTGTTCAGGTGTTATAGCTGATTCAATATGTGAACATTTATTTGTATCTAATTACTTGCCCTGCTCCATAAACAACCTAAAAATTATGATTCTAACTTATGTTGTTGTTGTTTTTCAGCCAAACATTGGGCGTCTTGGCATCCCCCATGGACCCTCTGGAGAAAAGGTGGCTGTGGTTGCTGTGGACGACTGTGACATCTCCATGGCGATACGTTTCGGAAAGCAGATCGGAAACTACTCCTGCGCTGCCCAGGGCACCCAGACCGGACAGAAGAAGTAAGATAGTATATTTTGTCTTTCATCTGCACATTTTTGAATTTGCACATAAAAAATTGGAACGTAGAAGCTTCGCAAAAAAATATTGAAATATCGTTAACACATTTTAACGCTTGGTTAAAGTGAAAGGGTCATTGTACTGATAAAAGGGAAATGCAACAAAGTGTAATGGAAAAAGATTAAGAGGATAAATTATGAGCGTGCTTCTTTTTGTACCATTTTATGACGCCATCCTTTTGCGTCCTCTTTTTTGCAACTGGACAAATGGCGCCACCTACTGCTGACCTAACTGCTCAATATATAATAATCGCATAATAATGCTGAATGCAGTCTTCCGTGTTTTCTTTAGCCGATTTTCTCAACATTCAGTTTAAATTTGTGATACATTTGTGTTGCTTCTGTCTTTCTCTGTTTAGGTCTTAACACACATGATCTCCAACACATACCACACACACACTCCGCACACAAACTAGTCAGACTAATATGTTCATATGTTCTACCTTAGGGGTTATGTTAAAGTGCCTTCATTGCAAAAGATTACACTGTACCCTCCCTTCTTTTTGTCTGCTAATCTGAGTTCATCCTCGTGCTGTCAAACATGGCCTTATACACTGCAAAGCTCGCCTCCACACAGGTTTCAACCGATTGACTGTGTACCAAACACTAATGAGTTTTTATTTTTAAAGCGTGAGACTTTTTTTTAATGAGTCTTATGGAGAGCTAGCATGCTGGGACACATTTAGTTTGCAGAGGGTGGGGACAGTTAGGGAGAGAGCTTCAAAGAGGAGTTAATGAGGTTACATTCTTTCAGGAACTTGCTCCACAGGTCACAGAGGCTGAGAGGCGTTTGGAGGATACTCTTACTGAAATATACATACCCTGTTTTGTTGTGGAGAATGTTTTGAGTGGGATTAAGGCACACAGAAGGACATTTCAGTTTAAACTTTCATTTACCATAATTAGCAATATGTTGTATTCACTTTGAACAAGGCACAATATGGATGTCACATACCACCACATTTTTTAAGGTGTCAGGAGTATTTATTTATAATATATAAAATACAAATGTAGGTTTTAGACCAGTACTGTGACCAGATAAATGCCACTGACCAGAACAATTTTCAAAATTATATTTTTTTCGATTCACTTGTTACACTCTTTGCAAAGCTCTGGTATCCTTGTTGCAACTATGTAGCGATAACAAATAAGTGTGTGTGCATGTGTCCACTTAGGCCTCTTATTTTTCTGGTTTCTTTTATTTTAAACATTGACAAATATTCATTAAAAGGTGATTTTCTACATTTTGGGTTTCACCCTAATCCATTTTCTGTCTATGTCTTCTGCAGGTCACTGGACTTGACTGGTCCGCTGTTGCTAGGCGGGGTTCCCAACCTACCTGAGGACTTCCCGGTCAGGAACAGGGACTTTGTGGGCTGCATGAGAAACCTCACCATCGACAGCAAACCCATCGACATGGCCAGCTACATCGCCAACAACGGCACCGCGGCAGGTATGATATGCTGCGTGGTAAACTTAAGCCATGCTCAACATTGCTTATTATTAGGACAAATACTCTGATTATCTACTTACTCTTCACCAATTCATGACAATCTATGTGTTCAATTTCAAGGTTGTCCAGCAAAGAAAAACTTTTGCACGGACGATGTGTGCCAGAACGGAGGAGTGTGTGTCAGCAAGTGGAGTACGTACAGCTGCGACTGCCCAACCGGTTATGGAGGCAAGAATTGTGAACAAGGTGAGAAGAAGACTTATTTCTGAAGATCAAAAAGCGTGTGTTTACTAACAGTAAGTGTGTGAGTCTGAAGGACTTCGAGGAAATAGAGCGTGTGTGGGAGATCAAACGGGATAAAGAGCTACTCCCCTGAGTCAGTTTGAGTCATGCAGCAGATTCAATGGAGATTCACGGTGAAGCTTTCTGCTGTACACACACCAAGGATAGCCTCAGGTCTGAAGTTAAAGGACAAGAACCAACTCTCTGACTCACCTAAACAGCAGACAAAGGATGAAACAAAACAAACACATGCGCACACTGACCTCCTATATGTGTTACCTCATGTTACTCTGACAAGGACCTATACAGAGTACTTATAGATAAATACATGTAGGTAGGGTATTAACTATTTTGCTATTTCCATAACCAGTCTCATGTTATTCCTTAGTAAATAGAGAACTTTGATTTCCTCCTTCGGGCGATCTTCCAAACAATGTGCGAAGGTGTGAATTCCTCTTCTTGCCCTCTCGTCTATGAGGTAGCCGCCTAGCCAGCGCCAGGCCTTGTATCCAGTATCTAAACTGGGGTGTGATCACAGCAAGCTGGGAAGAGGTTTTTGGCTGTTATGTCGCTTGTTGACACATTTGGACTGAGGCAAAGCTCACCTAGCTGCCACACGAGAAACAGGAGATTTGTTATGGTGGATTTTCTGCCAAAAATTATCCAGACTGGACCGACATGAAAAGACTGAAATCCACCTTTTATTCATCCACCTTTTCTTTTTATTCTATCAGATCAAATTTAAAGTGTAGACCATATTTTAAAAGATTTGGGATGAGTTCTGTAATGCTAACTTAGAGTAGATACGGTCTGATTTGGCAGAATTTGAAGACTTAGATGTTTAAGATTTACTCTTTGATCTTTAAAATAACAGTAAGAAAATGTAAATTTAAAAAAGCTTAATAATGAATATAAGAAATAAATGTGTGGCTGAACTTAGAGGAACCTGGTACATCTTACTTGCTAAACTCCAGAATGTTAGCATGTGAGCATGCTAACCTGCTCACATTTAGCTTAAAGCACCTTTCTGTGGACTCTTTTATTATTATTATTCAAAGCTGAGTGTTGATAAGTTAATCATAAATGAGGAGTGGCTGATTTAGTTTTTACTTTATGTATGACTAAGCTTTGGTAAATTAGTCTAGCTGAAGTTAATGTGGCTAACTGGAGAATTTTGTTTTGCTTTGTCCCATAATTACAGCTTGTGTAGGTGTGTATTGGTGAACACTTCTGTGGAAATATGTGCCCTGGGGAACTGAAGACATACAGGGTTTATGCTGTAGATTATGTGGGAGGAAACACTTTGTGTGTGTGTGTGTGTGTGTGTGTGTGTGTGTGTGTGTGTGTGTGTGTGTGTGTGTGTGTGTGTGTGTGTGTGTGTGTGTGTGTGTCATACTTGCCAACCCTCCCGATTTTCGCGGGAGACTCCCGATTTCATTGCCTCCTCTGACAAAATCAGATTTACTCAGGACTGTTTACACTCGGACTTTAATACAGCTACACCATTGTTTGGTTTCCATGGTAGCACGTCTCTTTAGTAGCGCGCGCAACTGAAAGTCTGAGAGGGTGAGGAAGACAGTCACATAAAACAGAACAAGAATCGACAACTCTACCCTCTGCTCACTCCTTTCCTGTAAAATACAGGTCCAGCCCAAACTCTCAAGGTTGGCAAGTATGGTGTGTGTGTGTGTGTGTGTTCAGAATGTCTGTCTGGACAGGAATGTTAGTTGAGGAATAACTGTGAAATCATAAATCATAAAACAGCAATTGTATTACCCATAATGAAGAAAAATATGTAAACAAGCATAAACGTAGGCCTATATGCTAAGCATCGTAACCAAGCTATTCATTCTTAAGCCATATGTTTAATTCAAAAACCTGATACGTTACATTCAAAGCAACCACTTAAGAATATTTATAGTTAAAATATAATTTAAAACTGCCTCTTTAACATAAAAGTGGAATTGTTAATGCTTGTGTTTCTCAAAAATAAAGACTACTTTTCCTATCTACTATTTTGCTTCCTGTCACAAAGACATGGTTGCTACTTATCTCCCCATTGTTTTTGTTTCTGTTTCACTTCACTGAAGAGGATAAGTTTCAATATGAATGTGGCACATAATTATCCTTAAAATACTTAAACAAAAATCATATTTCCTCTTTCCCCTCTCTTGTCCAGTGATGCCTTCTCCTCAGTTCTTCGACGGCCAGGCTCTGATCTCCTGGAGCGAGATGGACATCACCGTGGCTGTTCCCTGGTACATGGGCCTCATGTTTCGCACCAGGCAGCCTGCTGGCACCCTGATGCAGGTCAACGCCGGAGCCTACTCCACCATCAACCTCATGGTGAGATACAGTATATAGCACATTGTCAACAAATGTAAGCAAAAACGGCATCGTCATCATAAAGTGCAACTTCCGCAGTCTTGTCATTATTTGTAATCTGTACTCCACGCAGGTGAGTGAGCAACAGGTCCGTATGGAGGTGTTGCTGAGGGACCAGCTGGTAGCGTCCCTTAGCTTCCCCAAAGTTCGGGTCAATGACGGGGAGTGGCATCACCTGCTGGTAGAACTGAGAAGCGTTAAAGACGGAAAAGACATCAAATACATGGCTTCTGTTTCTCTGGACTACGGCGTTTATCAGGTAATGGATAAAAACATCTGAAATAACATTAGGATTCAAACTCAGAACAGCAACAAATCCTGTGAGAATATTAGCTGACCTAACCATTTCGGGTGCTACTGCTAGGTGCTACTGCTAGGTGCTACTCGTCTTCAAATAAGGCTTTTTAAATGCTAAATCCAGAAATGAGTTTAATTTTGTCCATTTCTGTCCTGTGTTTTTAAGCAGAAGTCAGTGGAGATCGGTAATGAACTTCCAGGATTGAAGCTGCAAACTCTTCATTTAGGAGGTTTGCCTGGAGATGGAAACCATGTCAGAAAAGGATTTGTCGGATGCATCCAGGTAAGTGCATGTGCTAATCTTGTTTTTTCTTTAACCACTTATCATTTCTCTTCTTCTTAACCATATTGTGTGCCTTCCACCAGGGTGTGCGTATGGGCGAGACGTCTACCAATATTGCCAACGTGAACATGGCTAAGGGCTTGAAGATCCACGTGGAGGACGGCTGTGACGTGGCCGACCCCTGTGACTCCAACATCTGCCCTGAGAACAGTCACTGCAGCGATGACTGGAGCACACACACCTGTGTCTGCGACCCAGGTAATATACACTTGCCCAAAACACATCCACTTGATTAAAACTCTACTTGTCTCTCAGCAACGTCTGATTGTCCTTCTACGCTGTTTTCTCTTTGTCTTGCAGGTTATTTTGGTAAGGAGTGTGTGGATGCTTGCCAGCTCAACCCCTGTGAGCATGTTTCCACCTGCGTTCGTAAACCAAGCTCCTCCCACGGCTACACCTGTGACTGTGGACAGAACCACTTCGGCCAATACTGTGAAAACAAGTAAGGTCCCTTCTTAAGAAACTCTGTCGTCTTCCGCTTATCTGAAACCTTATTATATTAGATTCTGCAGAAGTTGACCCAGTAGCACACCATGATCTTCTTTGTCTCAAGAAACATTTCAAATGCTAAAAAAAACATTTATAAATAATTGATTTGAACTGCATTTAAAGAAGCATGCTAAATGCTTCCTCAGAGGCTTTTTATCCAGAGAAAAGCGCACTTATCTTCTCTTAGGTATGTTAGGCTCTTGCTCTTTTTGTCATTAAGAGCAGTTTTATTAGGCAGTAATCTGAGCTCGATTGTTTATGCACATAGAGAGAGGGTTAAGAAACAAAAAGGAGATACTTGAAAGTGTTGGATCTGCATTGTCTGAGTGCACACAGGAATTAGCCAGCCCTGATTGAGAAGCAGCCATTTCCCCTGAACCCTGACCCCTATGACACGCATCACTTCCTCTCTTAAGCAGGATGTGGGATTCCCCCTCCATGCCCGACTGATCCTCCATACGTGTTTAGTCACCGCTGCCCTCACACTGCTGCTCGTCCCCTATCAGATCACATCTCCCAGTCGGAGATCTCCAGAGGGAGATAGAGACTCAGTGTGTGTGTTGTGTCAATGGGTCACACCTGGTTACCTGACTTTAAAGCGCCGAGGAAGTTTATTCTAGATTCAGGGCGACAGACAGCGTTTAGTTGCAGATAAATTGGACAGATTGTCAACTATCAGATATGGAGCCTTTTGTCCAAGCTGTGGAAATACGTTAATTAAGATGTACATTTGAATGTACTTTGCATGTGGCTTGAGCCTTTAACCTGCAGTTCCTATTGTGTGGCACCTTTTACGCTGTCACAATCTCAGTTAGTTTAATACATTGGTAATATATAAATTGCTTTAACTAATGTGCCGTTGTTTTTGACGACAGAGTGGAGAAACCGTGTCCTCAGGGCTGGTGGGGCAGTCCGATGTGTGGACCCTGTCACTGTGATACTAACAGAGGATTTCATAAAGACTGCAACAAGACCACTGGAGAGTGTCGCTGCAAGGTAAAAGGAATACATAATACAACAAGGTTCAGTTAAAACAGCATCGAATCACCTTAAAAATGCACTTAAAGCACATCTAAAGCTTAATTTTAACCGAGTAAATATAATATGTCTTCTCTTGCAGGAAAACCACTATCGGCCAGAAGGCGAGGACACCTGCTACCCCTGCGAGTGTTTCTCTATTGGCTCAGAGTCTCGAACATGTGACGCCATCACCGGGCAGTGCCCCTGCAAAGGAGGAGTCATCGGGCGCCAGTGTAACCGCTGTCATAACCCCTTCGCTGAAGTCACTCCCACTGGATGCGAGGGTATGTTCCCGACAGAATGTAATGTTACGGCAAGAAAATAAGAAATTGAGGAAGACTCATCCTTAATATTAGCTTTGAAGGTTAAAAAAAGCCTTTATAACTTTAAATGTACTCATTCTAGTCTATAACTATTCAAAAAACAATCAATGAATAAATGAAGCCTTGAATTCTGATACATTTGTCCAATTAAAAAAAGGTGTTCATGATAAAGAGGGAGGATTTTAAGAAAGAAAAACATTTTAGATTAGTTGTAATATTCCTTTAAATGTTTAGGTTGTGTTCAAGTGAGCTTGCATGAATCGGCAAAATGTCAAAAGGAGACAAACATTGTTGCTCACAGCTGCCGGTGCTGTATTTGAGCTAACTGGCATCTTTGTCGCAGACCAGTCAAGCAGAAGATTTAAGGCTGGCTGGAGAGCTGGCTTGGCAGCGGGACAATACAGTACAGATGAATGGGAGAGAAAAGAGTCCCATAGATGCAAAATAAATGTCAATGTGCGAACTGTTCCACCCAATATGAAGCTCTGCAGAACGTGTTTTGACTGTTAATGCAAGAAGAGGTGGAATATATCTAAGTACAATTACTCAAGTACTCTTTAGTCGAGACATAAGAAATGTTTTAAGATCTAAAGGGTTAAATCACTATTGGTCTAGGCAAGGAGGGAGTGTGGATGGAGGGATGAAACAAGCCAGAGGTTTCTTTGGTCAGGTCCTGCGGGTCACTGAGATGTGACCATCCATGGCAGGATCTGTCACCACTGCCTTTAGGAATGACATCATGTCTCGTGTTTTAAAGAAATGATCGCTAAGGAAAGGCTAAGTGTCTAAAAAGTAGAAAAGAAAACACTGAGGGATTTTTCAACTTCAGTACGAGGAGTTATAAACAAGCTTGGTTTGTCCTGGAGATTTTTCAACCCAGATATACAGGAATTAACTAATCAAATCATTAATTTGATTGTGTTAAAAACCATGTCAACACCTACAAAAAATTGTATTTGTCCTTTCCTCCACAGTGGTGTACGAGGTCTGTCCCAAGGCGTTTGATGCAGGCATCTGGTGGCCAAAGACCAAATTCGGACGCCCCGCCGCAATAAACTGTCCAAAGGGATCTATTGGTGAGTGCTAACTTAAATGTATTTTTATTTGATTTTGCTATATTTATTGGGGTTTTAAACAAAACTGAAACCGAAAATCTTCAAATACGACACACATTCAACTTTTTATTTTTAAGTACCCAGCAAACAATTTGGTAGCAGACATTTCATATATTTTATAAATTGGTTAACTTCAAAAATTCTTGAGAAGATTGGTAGTATCTGAACTCAGCAACCGCCAACAAACAACCTAACAAAAAAATATGTTTTTCAATGGATTCTAAAAGTACATTTGATTAAAATGTCTGGCTGAACCTTAAACAAATAAAACAGGCCTGCCTCTGTGTCAAAGTATTCACAGTAATGACAGCTGGATTCAGAAGCTGGGTGGCTGTGTTTGTGACTTAATGCATTTTAAGTCATGTAAGCACACTCTCTCTGAAGCTTAAAAACACAGGCTCTCTGATTGGTCCGTTAATCCAGCAGGGCTTTCTCATTGGCCAATTGCGTACAGGCTTTGTGTGTAGAGACTTTTGGAAAAACACCAGGTACACTGAGGGCTGACGGTAACAGCCTTCCTCCTGCTGTGTGTGTGTGTGTGTGTGTGTGTGTGTGTGTGTGTGTGTGTGTGTGTGTGTGTGTGTGTGTGTGTGTGTGTGTGTGTGTGTGTGTGTGTGTGTGTGTGTGTGTGTGTGTGTGTGTGTGTGTGTGTGTGTGTGTGTTTGTGTGTGTGTGTGTGTGTGTGTGTGTGTGTGTGTGTGTGTGTGTGTGTGTGTGTGTGTGTGTGACTCAAGTTCACTGACCTGTCCCTTAGGAAAGCACCGTCACTTTCCTGGTTACCCCCTAGTTACCGCCATCACTATGGCAACCCTATTGTTGTCTCCCCAAACCCAAAGGGGAATTTATTTGCTAACGCTGTTCGTCGCCCTCTCTTAGCTCCAACTGGCGAGTGCTTCAGACATTTCTTATCGTCAAACAAAGGCATTGGAAGAGACTTTTCATTTGGATCAGATCTTTTCTCAAACTTTATCAGACTGGAACTAATCAGTACGGTTAGAAATGTTTAAACCACTAAAATGGGAAGAGTTTTACACTTTTTAAGTGGTTTATGACTATATTCTAGCATTTTTAGTACCTTTTTAATAAAATATAGATTGAATTTTTCTTGTGAAATCCCTGAAAATGAACAGTTTCTACTTATATATGAGTAATACGTATGCCATTCTGTTTGCATACGGCCCCAGTAACCTTCACTAAAAAATGTTTTAAAGTGCCTTATTATAATTTTGTTAACATATTGTATACAATCAAATGAATAGATCTTTAACTTGACTGCTTTCTGTTTGTCTGCGAGACGTTTTCTTTAATTACTTTTTTTCCTTCTATTTTTACAGGTACTGCTATCCGCCATTGCAGCGAGGAAAAGGGCTGGTTATCTCCTGAGCTCTTCAACTGCACCACGGTCACCTTCTCCCATCTGAAGAAACTGGTAAGAGCTAAATGAAAAAATAACATTTACTGCCACTAAGGCCAGAAATCTTTTACAAAGTAATGACATTTTATCAAGTTATAATGTGGCTTGAGCTAGTCCTACACTTTAATCTATTTACTTCTTTGAAAAGACTGAAAATGTAAACACTTCTAAACCCATTTTTCTTTTTGTGTTTGAATTCCTAACCAGTAACATCTTCAAAAATAAATAATGTCAGGCTTTTGTTGCACTTGTAATGGCGCAACACTGGATTGATCTTTCTTATAATAATCATAATAATTACTTGAATGTATTCAAAAGAAAGATTGCATTGACTGATTTCATAGGATTCAATCTGTGGGAGATTTATAATCACGGGATTGACCAATTTCTCTCATGTGTCATCGCACCCACTCAATGTGCCTCTGCCTTGACTTGCTTGTTCTTTTTAAATGCTTCCACCCTTCCCTTCTCCCAGAATGAAGACCTGCGGCGCAACAGCTCCAGGATGGACAGTGAGCACTCCAAGACCATCGTGCGCATGCTGCACAGCGCCACCAACAACACCCAGCATTACTACGGCAACGACGTGAAGACGGCCGCCCAGCTGCTGAACCACGTGCTGCAGTACGAGAGCCGGCAGGCGGGCTTCGACCTCACCGCCATGAGGGATGCAGAGTTCAATGAGGTAGAAACAGGATCCATGGACCACTTAAATAAATAATTCCAGTGGTTACCTGTTCTCCTGGGTGGATCCCAACTTTAATCCCTCAATGGAAATATCTTAAAACCTTTTTATCCCCGTCTGTAGCTCTGGTTGCACTGGTGGCACACTGCCCTCCACTGGTTGGTTCTCACTAATAGAGAAACTTCATCCACCAATGCATTTTCAAAGTTTCCACAATTGTAACATTACTGCTCTTTAATGACTATATGATGCGTTTACTTGCAGTAATTTAAATCGTTATGGTTTCATTTTCCAGAACTTGGTGCGTGCAGGTAGCGCCATACTGGATCCTGACACCAAGGAGCACTGGGATCAGATCCAGAAGACTGAAGGTGGCACCGCCCATCTGCTGCACAACTTCGAGGAATACACCAACACCCTGGCACAGAACGTTAGGAAAACGTACCTGAAACCCTTCACCATCGTCACTGACAACATGAGTGAGTGCCATAATCACATTTTGCGTAAATGGGAGTTCTCACATCGGAGATATCATTCTTAATTTTTGCCTACGTGTCCTGTTCTCTCTGCCACTTCTCCAGTTCTGACCGTGGATTACCTGGATGTGTCGGATCCGGAGAGGGCGACGCTGCCTCGGTTCCAGGACATCCAGGAGGAATACTCCAAAGAGCTTGGCTCATCCGTCCACTTCCCGCAGTTCAACCTCCGCACTCATTCCCACAGAGGTAGGAAAGCTGCAGAAACTAAGTATTTGTCAAGCTGCAAAACTTAAAACGTGTAAAAAAAAAAATCCAGGTCAATTTATCTCTTGCTATCTTCTTCCAGTGGAGCCCACCCCTGCCCTGCCTACTCAGACCGATGCCCCACAGAAGGAAGAGCAAACAGTATCTGACAGGAAACGACGCTATCTTGAGCCAGCTGCCCCTTTGCCAGTTGCCGTGGTTATAGTGTATAAAACATTAGGGAAACTCCTTCCGGAAAGATACGACCCGGACCGCAGGAGTATGAGGTACACACTTAAAGTTTAGGGGCTACTAATGACTTAATCATTCTTCAAATACCTTTAAACTGCCTTATTTGCCACACTGTATGACACTGATGTATCATGCTCTTAACTACGATTACATTATGAAGTGTTATCTAGTCAATTTCAAAGAAAACCTAAACGAATGAATGAAAGAGAGCCTATATATAATCTGAACTCTAAATAGTTTCAACTGTACTCGACTATAATGCATCATTTAACAATTTGAAGAAACCATGTGACTGTTTCTCTCATAACATTTACTGTAGGCATGTTTGAAGGAACAACCTTATCAGTGCCTATAAAATCCTCTGAAGTTAGACAGAACATTTGAACAGGACTATGTGTTTGAAAAGAGAAAAATCTACTAAGAATATGTTAGGAACAGAAGGAAAACAAAGACATTTAACAAATAGGTGTGGGTCTGTTATGTACAGTATGATTTAATGTTCATGAGAGTGTGTGTGTGCTACATTTACTATAGGTCAGTGATTAAAACCTTTAATTAAAACAATTTTGGGTCATACTTAATTGTATTTTTTTATGTTTTTCTAGGATCCCCAACCGCCCAGTGATCAACACAGCCATAGTGAGCGCCTCGGTGCACAGCGAGGGTCCGCCTCTTCCTCCCATCCTGGACCCCCCCATCACCCTGGAGTACACCATGCTGGAGACGGAGGAGAGAACCAAACCTGTGTGTGTCTTCTGGAACCACTCCATCGCGTGAGTTGGACTCGGGAATGAACTTTTGAGAAAGCATTCATGACGTTTGCTGTGAAGTTGTAACTTTCATGTGTTGTGTGTGTGTGTAGGATCGGAGGTACAGGCGGCTGGTCGGCTAAAGGCTGCGAGGTGCTCAACAGGAACAACAGCCACATCAGCTGCCAGTGTAACCACATGACCAGCTTCGCCGTGCTCATGGACATTTCAAAGAGAGAGGTATTTCTAAGAAGATCCATAAACATCTAACTAAGATATGTTCCGACTTTGTCATTGACTCCTGGCTCTGCTCCCCCCAGCACGGTGACGTTCTCCCTCTGAAGATCGTCACCTACACCACGGTGTCCGTCTCCCTGTTCCTCCTCCTCCTCACCTTCATCTTGTTGTGCCTGTTGCGCCGGCTCCGCTCCAACCTCCACGCCATCCACAGGAACCTGGTGGCAGCGCTCTTCTTCTCTGAACTCGTCTTCCTGCTCGGCATCAATCAGACGGACAACCCGGTGAGTGTTTTTGTAGCCAATTTCAAAATGTAGCCATTACTTTTAGCTATTACTTTTAGCAGCTTATTCAAAACTTTTAACTAGTTATTTTTACTATTTAACCCTTAGTTTTAATAAACTATTTCACCAGTTTATCCATCACTTTAAGCCAACTCTGTAAACAGTTTATCCGTTACTTTAGCTAACTATTTTAATAGTTGATCCATTACTTATACATTTCTTAATTTTGCAGCAGTTAAACGTTAATTTTTGGACGTTGTTGAATAGCCTTTCCTAGCTAACTCTGGTCATCCCAGAGAAGCAGTTCTGTACATTACAGAAAATTAGTCTTACCTCTTTTCAAGTATTCCTATGCTATAATATATATATATATATATATATATATATATATATATATATATATATATATACATCAGGAGAAGGTACATTAATGGTGTCCTGTGCATCTAAATGGAAAAAAACAAAGATACGGTACAGGACCACAACAGTTTCCTATGCTTGTGGCATGGTGGAACCTGAAGGGGGATACAAATCTAGTGTTTACTGAATTAAAAACTGAATGCTATTTGTTTGGCCTGCAGGCAGCCATCTTAACATGGCGCTGACTGGGGCTTTACTAGGATTAATGAACCAAGGCCTACCTGAGACCGTCTTTATTTGACAGATTATGAGTTTTGAGGCTTGGCTAATGACTGTAATAATAAGGAATGTGCTGGTAGCCAAAGCTATCTCCGAATATAACCCTCTATAGGTTACTTTTATTGAATTGACACTCGCAGCTGGTTGCTACCTTGTAACTATAAAGCTCTCTAATTAAAAACGTGTAATATCCTGATAAATCTAATAAGCTAATCACTAGCTGTAACCTAGTTTGGAGCTGGGTAGGTCATATGCAGTACAGGATCAAGAAGTGTGGGAATTCTTTGAAGTCTGCTGACACAGACATTTGGAGTCACACACACACACACACACACACACACACACACACACACACACACACACACACACACACACACACACACACACACACACACACACACACACACACACACACACACACACACACACACACCACACACATGCACACACACTTCGTAGTGTCAGTAGTGGAGACATGCTGTGACTGGTACCTGTCTCCAGAAGCCAGCTTCAGGGCGGTAGGCACTGGCGAAGGTTTCCCAAAACAACATCTTGGTTTTCACTTGATAAATCTTGTGCATGTCTGTGGTACAGAAAACATTATTAATCGGATAATTGACGGGAGATCCTGCTAATCTTAGAAGACATGAGGTTAGGAAACACTTGGCCTTGGGGAGACATAAGGAGATAATAAATAAATGGTTAGATGTACTTATTGTAAGTCACTTTCAATCGGCTTAGTCCATTAAGTGTAGTGATGTAGTGATGTGACAATCTTGCAGTGTCATAAATGCCATATGTTTAATCCATAATTTTCATAGTCTAATTAATTCAATTTTTGAATCATACCCAGGACCTTTGCCTTTTTTGGCAACCTGTCGGGGCTCTTTAATACAAGACATGTGAAAAACAACTAACTATGCTTAACCATAACCATCCTAAACAGTCATCATCAAAAGTCAATTGCCAATCATAACAGTAGAGAGGAGTCAGAAAACATGCTCAGTAATGTACCTATTAAAACAATATCTAGCTAACCTTTTAGCATCTCTTGTAGTAAAGTGTTCTTTCAAATGAATGTGTCAGCAATGAGTAGTCTTGCTAAACCAGATGTACGTAGTCTTGCTAAACCAGATGTACGTTTTGAGTCCAATGGTCTCTGTGAAAATCCAGTAAACCCAGGTTGCATAGACCGATGCTGCTATAGCAATGCCTTTATCGCCATAATAGCTCAAACAAAGACATTAATCTTAAGCAAATAAGCCCAGTAAAAGCCCAACAAACTAGGAAAGTAGATAAGGAGTGGGTCAGTAAGTTTGTGCAGAAACGTACTGACTCACAGTGTTTTGACTGCGATGAGGGGGACTCAATCTCTGACTGACAACACGCTCGCTGCGTCACCTGCAACCAGAAGCCAAGTCTGCACACATAAAAAAAAGAAAGAGAGAGAGAACACACATTTGTTTTTTCCATCTCTGTTAATTCATAAGTGTACGTGGAGTCCTCTATCTTGTGCTTAGGTGTGTGTGTGTGTGTGTGTGTGTGTGTGTGTGTGTGTGTGTGTGTGTGTGTGTGTGTGTGTGTGTGTGTGTGTGTGTCTCAACTGTGGAATGCTGTCAGTGTGTGCCCAGGGCCATCTGCAGCATGATTTATAACCCTGTCAAAGCAGTCTCTTTCTTACTGTCTCTGATCTCTGCAGCAATACACAGCTACACTAAAATACAGTTCCAACTGCTGGGACATTCCCTGACACACTGCATTCTTCCAGTGCAGCAACAGACCTGGAAATAGGGAGGGAAGGGGATAAAAGAGTGTGGAGATAGATTACATCCACCTGTTTTATTTAAAGACATTAATCATTGAAAAAAAGAAGAGGTATGCTAGCAGCTATAGGGCTGCAAATATTGCTGATTTAAATCAAAATGTGTCAAAAATCCCCATTGAAATTAGCTGGAGCCTGATGAGACATATACAATAAACATATTTATTTAAATTGGCAATATTATGCTAATTGTTAGGCTCATATTTGTGTTTTGGCCACTTCTGTGACATGTTTATGTGTATTAATATTCAAAAAGCTCTTTATTTATCTTTATTACCTCTTTTCACCCTCTGTCTGAAACCAGAGCCCAGTCTGCTCTGATTGGTTAGCTGGTTAGCTCTGTTGTGATTGGTCAACCAACTTATAGATGTCCCGCCCCTGAGCCTATCATGATTGTACAATGTATTAGAGCGCTAGCCAATAGAAGCGGAAATGTTTCATAGTTGAAACAAGATGACATTTAAAAGGCTTGAACTTTCGGTTTATAGGGGCATTTTTTCCAATAAATAATTATTGAAATATACACTAACAAAAGCATCGGCTAACAGAAAATACATTGCATTAAAAGCACTTCAAAAATGAAATTACTGGATGTTATAGAAAGGGAAATCAGGGATGACAATAAGACAAAAGCTGCTTTTAATACATCTCTTATCTGGTTCCCTTACAATGTACACTCATACTTTGTCTTCTCTTCCTCCTCCCCTTTCTCTCTGTCTTTGATCTGATCTCCCCCCAGTTTGTGTGCACGGTGATAGCCATCCTCCTCCACTACTTCTACATGTGCACCTTCGCCTGGATGTTCGTGGAGGGGCTGCACATCTACCGCATGCTGACAGAGCTGCGGAACATCAACCACGGCCACATGAGGTTCTACTACGCCATGGGCTGGGGCATACCGGCTATTATCACTGGTGAGAGAGAGACACACACACACACACACACACACACACACACACACACACACACACACACACACACACACACACACACACACACACACACACACACACACACACACACACAAGGCAGGATTCTTTCGTGCTGTGACTTGTATGTCCTGAAGAGGCTGTGATCCTCGTGGGAAAATGATTGAACGGGGAGGAAAGATTTGGATGTTCACAATATGTTAAATGAACACAAAACAGTAGCATGAATTACGTGGATAAAATAAACATCCAATTGTGGATGAAAAGCGTGTGCTGGGAATTTAATCTCAACATGCCACATAAATCTTCTTTCACTCTATCATCCCGTCTTGAAATAAAGGGAAGATTTTAAATCATCTAGTATCGGCAATTAGTTGCACTCTTTCAAGCCTGCCATGTTTGTATAACCCTTTGATGCATGTTAAGATTAGAGTAATATATTAAAAGGTGTGCGTTGTGCTGACATGTTTTGGCAGTAGTAGATTCCAGGGAAAGATTATTGGAATTTGAGACATGGTGTGAGAGACATATAGATTTTTAAAGGAAGACGTACAGAGATCCATAAATAGAAACAGATGATGATAACAAATGATAAATGCCAGTAATAAGTAATCAAGATGATAGAGAATACTGAACAAAAAGAATAGAAGAATAGAATAGTTCAATGTCATTATACATGTACAATGAGATAAATGCTTCTCCCTTTCAAGGGTGCCATCAAAACAAAAACAAAACATCACAACATAAGACAACAAAATACACGCAGCATACATACTTAGAGGAGGAGAATGTTGGTAGCACTACCTTAAAAACTGCAGGTGAGGTAGAGAGAGAAGGAGAACCAGGGATAAAGAAGACTTTTTGTAATTAAAACAATTGTACAATTATTTAATTCTATTTGTGTGTGTCTTTAGGTTTGGCAGTAGGTCTTGACCCCCAGGGTTACGGGAACCCAGATTTCTGCTGGCTTTCCGTCCATGACACACTCATCTGGAGCTTCGCAGGACCCATCTTTGTAGTCGTCCTGGTATGTGCCTGAATTAAGATATTCCCCAAATGACTGGTTCTTGTGATTATCAAAAAACTGTAATGTAATCTGAACATGTAATGCTGTGGATTAAACCATATACGTTAAAAGTCTCAAATATCAAAATAAAATACCCCAACATATTTTATCTTCCTAGGTGAACATAGTGATCTTTATCCTGGCTGCGAAGGCTTCCTGTGGTCGCAGGCAGAAGGATGTGGAGAAGTCAGGAGCTATGTAAGTCACTTTCATATTTCTATATATGGGACAACATAGAAACATGGATATAAAGTGCTGATCCATGTGCATCTTTGCCTCCTCAGTCCTGCACTACGAATGGCCTTCCTCCTGCTGCTCTTCATCAGCGCCACCTGGATGCTCGGCCTCCTGGCGGTCAACAGCGACGTCATGACATTCCACTACCTGTTTGCCGTCTTCAGCTGCCTGCAGGTAGCACAGGTTCACCTAAACATATGTCATGATCATTATCAACAGCTGATGATGCAGTTACATACAATCACTCAGGATTAATCTTTGTCTTTGTGCAGTAACAATTCTACTGTGCAATACTTACATCACATTGGCAGTAATACTATTAAATACTACTATTTTGATATATCTTACTATTCGGCATTACCCATAGATCCCATTTTCAGCCTTGTCATCATGGCACTAGTTTCGATACATTCTAATTATATGTTTTTTTTAGTTTGTATCTTAATTTAATTTTTTTCTCCCAATGTATTATACAAATTATATTTGCTTATATTTTTTATTTATTAATTAATACATTATTATTTTTCTTTTTTTCTATTTACAATTTTTTTTGTGTTTTCATTAATTGTTTGAATGGGTAACTGTAACGAAACTTGATTTCTCCTCCTTTGGTTGAATAAAACATTTCTCAATCTGATTCTTACCCCCCAGTTTTTAAAACAATCTGTTTTGCTGTTTCTTCACAGGGGGTCTTCATCTTCTTCTTCCACATCATCTTCAACAGAGAGGTGAGGAGAAACCTCAAGAACATCTTCACAGGGAAGAAGAGCATTCAGGACGAATCCAGCACCACCAGGGCCTCTTTGCTCACAGTGAGTAGATTCTTATTATGTTAAAGGTGTAAAGGTATTTCTAGCGTTCAATGTCATTTTATGTGTAGTCTTTCATTTGAACTTTTTGGCTCCAAAAGATGTCTTATTTTTTTGTTTTCTGTCCTCTTTTTCCTCCCCTTCCATCCTCTTGCCCCTCCGTCCTCAGCGCTCTCTCAACTGCAACAACACGTACACAGAAGACGGCGCCCTGTACCGCTCGGGCATCGGAGAGTCCACCGTATCCCTGGACAGCACACTCAGGTCAGCCAAGAGCCGCAGCAGCTACCTGGCTTACACACTCAGGTACAATGCTCACTGACTGCATGGCTGCTTCTACTGCGTGAACTCTGTGTGACTGTTGGTCCTTTGCACTGTCTTTACCTCCTCCTCCCTGCATGTCGCAAACATACTAACACAACCCAAGCCCCTGATTTAATTTATATGAAGACACACATACAATTTGCAGATACACACACACCTTACTTTCTGCCTTATCCAAAGCTAAGATAATATTTTTGAATTATCTTTTTTCTTTCTTTTCTTCTGCAAATTCATGCCGTATGAATTTTACTGTAGAGAAACTGCTTGCATGAGAGAGGAAGCTGAGATTTGCCAGCATGGCACGGGGCTTTGTTGCAAAACCCAACACACATACAGGAAAATCACCATGAAAAATGTGCTTCCAAACCGCACCACATATACATACATGCTGTAACTTTGTTTTATGTCCTAAATGAAGCTGCCAACTCTGTTCATTTGACTTGGAACAGTGTTAAATGTAGGTTTTTTGATTTAAGGAGTAAAGAAATGTCTGTGTACAATAATTGCTTTTACAGTACAGTGAAAAATCGTGAAAACGTTTGCAATATCTCATGTTAATTGTATATAGCTTAAAAGCACTGAAACAGACCAAAACACACTGAAAACAGTTTTAAAAAGTGATTATTATAACCTCCTTTAAAGTAGGTTTTTGAGTTTTATTGCACGGCTGTTGTATCATTTATTTTGGTATATATTGTGTCCACTGCTCCATGCTAGCTCTTCACTAATATAAATCATATTGTTGAAAATAATCTATTGAGTTGAGAAGGTGTTTATTAGCATGGTTTAATTTGTTGAAGTGTTAGCATGTTGCACTTGAGCATGAGGACAAGTGTATTCCTGATTAATCTCTAAAAAAAGACATTGACATTTGAGAGATAGCCCTCCCAGGATGTATCATCTCAGGCTAATCTCACCTGCAGCCTTGTGTTTGCACGTCTCACAGACATGTTTCCATCGCAGTGAAGTGCTGTTACATATACCTTGTGTTTGGAGAAGAGTTATTCAGAACTGAGGTTAGGTCTGACTGTACGCCTCGTAAATCTGTCATCCGGGGTAACGCAAGCTCACACTGGGGGTCAACAAGAGCAGAAAACGCCGGAAGGGGGAAGCGTGCTGCCTGTACGAGAGGGGGGGGAGAGGGAAGAGCGGGAGACTGGGGGAATAAGGGGGATGGGACTGTACCTGTTATAGGGAGAATGTGATACAGACACACACTTCTTCCCTGCGGCTGTTGGCACGTCGCCAGCTGCTTCCAGAAGTTTCTCTCAGATCAGACGGGTCAGAGTCTTTAATGTTGTTTTTGCTCTCCAGCCAACATCCAAACCAAACCTGGAATATATTCAATTAGCTATGAGTATTGAATTACACACTATGTATGCATCTGTGGTTGATCAGAATCAGTGTTATTGCCAATTAGGTTTACACATACAGTACACTAAGGAATTAGCTTGGGTGTAAAATGATGCCTACAAAAAAAGAGACAATTTAAACCATTTAAAAACAAGTATAACATTTAAAATAAAACAAACTTACTCTGAGATTCAAAAACATTTACATTATACAGTAGATGGCTGTTTCTGTTGCATATCAATCACCCACTTTATTGGCAATTTTCATCTGTGTTGGAGCCCCTTAATGTTTTGTAATTATGTTTAAATGATTAGTCGTCTCGATTTGGGCTTCCAGCGACACTGTACTTCCCCTCTCTCTGCCTCCTCTTAATCTCCTCCTCTTCTTTCCCACTTTCCTCCCCTCTCTTTCTGTATCTGCCTTCATCCACACAGGGAGGAATCTGGTCAGAAGCCCAGTGTCTCTTCAGGAACAGCTAAAGGGTTAGCACACACAGATCTGGACGGACCTCTGTTCCACAGAAAGGGCACCAAGGGAGATGGTGGGTCATCATACCTCTTTTATCCAGTTACAGAATGAGGTCAAAGCGTCAATTTTATGAATAAAGGTTAATCTTTGACCTTCTCTTGTTGTCTCCGCAGACTCGGACTCAGACAGCGAACTGTCAGGCGACGAACACAGCTCCTCCTACGCCTCCTCCCACTCCTCCGACAGCGAGGAGGATGACATCAACGTCAAGCCCAAGTGGAACAACGAGAGGCAGCCCGTTCACAGCACGCCAAAAGGGGCGTGTCCTGGTGAGCCTCAACATGAGATAGAATGTCACTGAGGAAATATACTCAAGTTTTATGCTTGAGTACAAAATTAAGTCACGTTTATAGTATATAGGAAAACATTGTAATCCAAGCAATATTTATGTTTTCAGATGCACATTATGGACAAAATATATGAAGAATTTATAAAAGATGATGAATGCTATAAAACTCATCACAGTATATTTAGTAGTTTAAATTTGCACATAAATGCCACCGTAAAATAACCATATAGTAGTATAACACTGACTTGGGCCATTTTTTTTGCACTGCCAGGATTTGATGTTGAGTACAATTTCAAACCTTTGGCAACTGTCATTTTAGTAAATGTTGAGGCTGACAGGATTTTAGCTTTAACATTTCTGCTTTCCCATCAGTGGAATCAGTATCCAATCACGTGAAGCCTTACTGGCCGGCAGACGCCACCACAGCCAGTGACAGTGAGGACCCCGGGGCAAACAGGCTGAGGGTGGAGACCAAGGTGAACGTGGAGCTGCATCAGGAGAATAAGCTCAACCACACTGGGGAAAGAGAGAGGGAAACTCCTGCTGAGAACGCCAGGGACGCAGCGCCCGCTAGCACACCGCACGGCAACAGCAACCACCACCCGGAGCAGAGGAAAGGTAAGGTTACGTTTTTGTTTTTTTTAAATGGAGTTTAATTGGTTAATGTGATTTACTTTGTAATAACTCTTTGTCCTGTGTCAGGTATCTTAAAGAACAAGATCAGCTACCCTCCGCCGCTGACCGACAAGAACATGAAGAACCGTCTGAGGGAGAAGCTGAGCGACTACAACACCCCCACCATCACCTCCTCTCCCCCCAACAACAACCACACCTCTTCCCCGGCTCTCTCCTCCGTCAACATCATGACCCCCTCGTCCCGCCCGCCCTCGCTGGCCTCCAACGACGGCTCTCGCCCCGGGAACCACGACAACGGCACCATCATCAAGCCGCCCGTCGCCCCGCGGCCGCAGATCAGTGCCGGGCCCCCGCCCCCCGCCATCTACAAGGAGACCAACGGGGGGGTAGCAATGCACTTGAAGTCAGGGACGGTGAATGGAGACAACGAGTCTGACTCAGAGTGAGTAGCTCTCTGGAAAATGTTGGCATGTAACAATGACCTTTAGTTTTTTAGTAGAGCATATGAATGCTGCTTCCTCGTCATTTCATAATGTAATTTGAATCTCTTTTTAAAGGATTTAAAATCAATTTGATGCTATAAATGGTTTGAAAAGATTGTTGAATAACATCGGTTGAGCATTACATCAACTAAATCAATATGCATGTATCATAAAAGGATCCATAGTTAAAGGAATAGTTTGACATTCTAGAAAGTAAACTTTTTTTCTTTTTTGCTCAGAGTTAGATGAGAAGATTGGTAAAAACGTAGATACAGCCAGCAGCTAGTTAGCTTAGCTAATCCAAAACAGCTAGCTTGTTTGACTTATTTAGTATGGCATAAACAAATACATATTTTTTATTAAGTAAATAAGATATTATGTGTTAGTGAGTAAGCCTTAGAGGTGCTGACAGGTGGACTCTGTTAGCTTTAGCAAAAGCTATTCTGACTATTTAATTGTTTCCTGTTGGCTAACAAGCTGCTGCTGTTGCATCATTTTAGGCTTAAAGGTGGTAATGGGTTATTCTCGGCGAGAAAGCAAACTATCCTATTTAAAATGTCAAACTATTACTTCAATTATAGCATGAATGATATGACCATCCTGCTTGAATGCTGCATGATGACTTCCTGCATCCCTGCATTCATGTTTACCATGCATGTTCCTTTCCTTCCCTTCCCCGCATCACCCCGTCCCTCCCTCCATATCTCCTGCTAACAGTGGCAGTAACGAGACTTCGATCTGACCTGTTAGGAAAACCCAGACCAGCCTGCCCTTGTGAGAGGAGGAGCAAAGACCTGCTGGGAGAGGAGAGGAAAGAGCCAAGAGGATGGGAACAAAATAAAGGAAAAGTGAAGACGGACAGATGCTGAGAATTGGGTGAAAAGGGGGGAACGTTTTCTCCGTACCTGAATCCCTTCTCAAGTTCCCTCTCCCTGGAGAGCAGTATTAATTGAAGACTTTAACACTGCCCAAGGCAGGAAAGAAAGCAGAGATAATGAAAAGGTGTGAGAAATAATAAAGGGAATGATGGACTGTACAAAGAGAGGATGCTGTGGAGCCATGTGTGCCAAAACCACTGTCGGAGAATCAGAAGATGAAGCCCCAAAAGGATGTTCCTCCATGGTGATCATGTCGCCCGATCAATGGGCAAAGTTAGCAAAGGGCAGATAAATAATCACTACATGAACTAAGACTTAAATACATGCTGGTGCATTTGTAGTCCTAAAGGATTCTAAGGACTACAAGTCCCTTGAAATGTCAGAAACATTCGACGATGACACCAGACAGCGCTGTCACACACCAAGTGCTCTTTTTATTGTTTGTTTGTTTTTTTACTCAAATGAGGCTTTCATAGACTCTCAATGCCGTGCATTTAGACTGTAATTAACATGTAGATATTGTTTAAGGTGAAGAAGAAATGATCTATTTTGTATTTCAGCTGTAGCGAGGATACGTTTCTTTACTAAAAAATCATTTTGGGAAAGCTTTCCACTTGTGAAAATCACTCGATATGCTGGTTAAATCAACAGAGAATGTCCCTGAATTAAGGCCTTACACAAACAAACTGTATGCCACTTTCACAAAAACACACATTATGGATAGAAGGCGTTATGTTTGGAAGTGAAAGTGACCTAGAATGTACATGCACACAGTGGGCCTAAATGAACTAATTATGTAGAATTGAGAGGACTTCCCCCTCCTGTTGAAAAGTCAGCTTTTCATTTCGAGCACTATGAACCTGAAGCCTTCTTTTCCAGTGTCCATCCTGCCTGTTTGTTCACAGCAAAACACTCCTGGTTACCAAAAACATGACCTACAGTAGATGTGCACATTAGGGTTGGAGTCAGTTTCACTTTTAACTCACAAAAAATGAGGGTTAGGGTTATTTGATGGAATAAAAACATGGCATATGACTAGAATAAAAAAAATCTACTATATTACCCTTTTCAAACACTCGTTGATGGATTTCTTTTTTAAAATTCAGTTTTTTTAAGCCAAACATGACAGACAAAGTCAGATTTTCTCAATCTGAGTTCAAAGTGAAAATGATGCCAGCTCTATGTATTTCGATTCTAGTATTAGGCAACTTAAAGTCTTGTTTACCACCCACTGAATGCCTTTGTACCATACGTACAACCCCAGTGTTTATCCCTCCTGTAATCAGTTCTGTTGATACATGTTCTTGTTTTTTTTTTATAGATCCAAGACACTGGAAATGTTTTGTAACATAATGTATATTTATTTTTTATGGTTTCAAGACACTGGAAAGAAAACATGATTGACTGTAAAATTAAAGACCTGATGATGAATTTTTAACCGTATTGTGCAACCTATTGTCTGTTGCCGGAAGGAAGCTTGGCTGGTCGAAACATGAACACTACTCAAGGTATATGAGGTAACATCAACTTTTTGGATCCAAAAAGTGATGAGTAACAGAAAGTGTTACTGCTGAACACCCCATTGACATCACTGATAATTATTTGTTAACCATTCAACGACCTATCTCTATTGTCCAATTTGAATCAAATATAGAAATGTCTCCTTTCTAGCTCTATTACAAATACAATGATATTTAATGTACATCAGCTACTTTAATTCAGAAATGTAGTTTAAAGACCCCACAAACCTTGTTTTTATTTTTAACAGTGAGTGATTGGATCAAACTTAAACATATAATTCATTGTTTTAGATTTTCACAGGCGATTTTAAGTATTTGTGTTTATCTTATTGTTTGAAGTGGGAGAGGCTCAACTGGAAAATCATGATGTCATGTATGTGAAGCTGACCGTTGAGCGGCCCGACCAAGCAAGGAGGCAGAGGCAAAACTTCCCAAATACAACCCGGTGTGGCCATTTATTTCTCACGGGCACATGACTGTGGCCGTTTCTCAATCGCGAGGATGCTGGCTTGGTAGTCGCGTACTTCCAAGTCACTTCCTTCAGAAACGAAGCCAGTATACTTCCAAGCCACGGCTTCGGAAAACGAAGAAGAATGGAACAGACTAACAAGTGTGCCACTCTCTGACTGTTTCAAAATTAACTGTACCGAAAATAAATACCTCATAATGTCTATCTAATTATGAACTTGCTTTACTTTCACGGAACACATTTTTAGTGATAACAAAGTAACATATTTACCAACACATGTTCTACGCCACTACATACTTATATTTAAATGTGTGCTGCGTCGGTTCAGCCATTCTCCGCAAGGGTTTTTTTTTTTTTTTTTTTTTAAATTGGTCCGTGCGCATTGTGGGGATTTTAAGGACGCGAAGTCTACCCATGTGCAGCCTCGAAATTTCCCCCAAACCAAGGACGCTGCCTCGGTGGAATTCCAAGTATGCTGGAGATTGGAACAGTCCTTCGGCGGCACTCGATGACGTAGTATCCTTGAAATATTGGCTTGGAAGCCAGTATCCTCGAGATTGAGAAACGGTCACAGCCTCAATCTCGCTGTTCACGTGAGCACAGTCACCAGCCACAAGGATCTCACACACCAAACAAAACAGGACACACAGAGCCTAAAATACCCACACTAATTAACCCAACAAGACACAGATGAGAGGGGAGCAGACAACACAGGGCACCAGGTGCACACAATCAACAGCAACAGACAAGGGGAAAGGGAACATTTTCAAAATAAAAAACACATGTGCAATATACAAAGCCCGAAGCAGTCAGTCCACAGTGACGAAGCCATCTTCGTCACATTTCCTCTTTCCTCTCCCGCAAGAGAACAGTACCTTATTCCTGCGACACTTATTGATCTTGGTCATTTTGCTCTCCTCCATGTGTCTCCAGTCCACTCCGCCCGGTGTTTCTGCTTCCCCTTGTGCCGCATGGTTTCCTCAGAGGGGGGCGTGAAGTCGGAAGGAAGCTTCCCTTTCTTCCTCAACTCTTTCTCCCGCTCCTTCGCGATGGCCTCCGTCAGGTTCTCCACGTACGCCGCCTTCTCCGCCTGCAGCGTCTTCATCACCTGCTTCCAGTGGTGTAGTGGGGATTTTTTTACTGGGGGGGGACGCTATTTTAATTAGGTCATCCCAAACAATGCCACACAAGTGCGCAGCACGCGCGCAGTGCACTCACAAAACGGGCAGACAGGTCCACAGAAACGATCGGTATGCTTCCTACTTTAGTTACTGTACTACAAAAAGCAGACGGCGCTGCGCTCAACACACACAGACTCAAAACCATGGACACACTGGCACATAAGTTACATAAACAATTTATCCCGAATGGATGAACAAACTTTGCAGCCCAGTTTCCCAGCTTTGCAGTCTATCCACGGGTATTCCTCTTGTTTCCTCCGACACATCTCCTCTGCTCCGTCCATACCTCTGGGAAAGGTGAGCTTGAGCTAGCCAGGGGGACGTTGCTAGCGCAGCTAACGTTAACGTTAGTGCTAGCATTATCAACGTCTTTAGGCGGCTCTTCTGATGATGTAGTGCTAGTAGCAGCTTCACTTGTAGCTTCGGTGCTGCGAGCCTCTTTCTTCTTGTGAATTATATTCTTTTTAGAAAAGAAGTCAAGCAAAAAACGTTTGCCTGCCATTATAGAGCTTTTCCGTTAGCGTTCTTGAAGGAAAGAGCTGCCGCAAAATCGGCGGGCGGGGAGCTGGCCACGGGGTCACGAGCGTGATGACGAATCATGATTTTTTAAGGAAATCGTTTTTATTTTTTATTATAATTAGGCCTACTGTGAAATGTATTATGTTTGTCATTATTACAACAAATACACACTTGCAACTGATAAGACTGGCAATGATTTTATATTTATTAGACTATTGAAAAAAAGATCATGCTCGAAATAAGTGGGGGTACGGCGTCCAACGCCCACTACACCACTGCCTGCTTCTCCACCTGAGTCTGAGTGACTGACAGCGCCTCTGCATTAGCCTGAGCCCTTATCTCCTCCAGCTGTCGCTGCATGACACGCTCTCTCTCCCGACGGATCCCCTCGGCCATTTTCACCCGCACCTCTTCCGCTAGAAAAGCATTTCCTGGTCTTTAATTGTCTTCTCCTCTGCAAGTTTCTTCTCCTGCAGGCGTATCAGACGAGCCTCCTCCGCTAAGCGCATCTCCTCTTCCTTTATCAGCTTCTCCTCTTCCTCCCTCTGCAACCTGAGCTGCTCCTCTTTCTCTTCTATCAGGGAAACCTGTTCCTGTATCCGTGAAAACGGCTGCTCCATGTTCCTCAAACGGCACTCCTCCCGCTTGAATCTGGCTGTCTCATACTGTAGGAATGACTTCATCATCTCCCTCAGTTCCTCTATTGCTTTCACCTCCTCACTTGGTCAATCCCACTTCTGACACCAAATGTGAAGCTGACCGTTGAGCGGCCCGACCAAGCAAGGAGGCAGAGGCAAAACGTCCCAAATACCACCTGGCGTGGGCATTTATTACTCACGGGCACATGACACAGCCTCAATCTAGCTGTTCACGTGAGCATAGTCACCAGCCACAAGGATCTCACACACCAAACAAAACAGGAAACACAGAGCCTACACACACACACTAATTAACCCAACAAGACACAGGTGAGGGGGGAGGAGACAACACAGGGCACCAGGTGCACACAATCAACAGCAACAGACATGGGGAAAGGGAACACTTTTCAAAATAAAACACATGTGCAATATACAAAGCCCGAAGCCGTCAGTCCACAGTGACGAAGCCATCTTCGTCACAATGTACTTCGGTGCACCAATCAGAATTGATCAATATTTGAATCGTTACTGATGACAGTTGGGCTGTAGTGTGATTGGCTGAGTTTTTGACTTGACAAAAAATGATTATCAAGACCAATGTGCTTTAATGCTCTATGTATCAGGCAGAGTTCCCGTTAGCCGGTAATTACCGGACTACGACCGGTAAAATATGCAGAAGACCGGCAAATCTAAATCTCTCCGGTCAAAGTGTCCGTTCAAAATAATTTCCCCTTAGCAATACCACATCAGTTGCGCAACTTGCGCCACTTATGTGACAGACAAAAGAGTATGTGACAGACAAGAATAGTCCATTCTAATGTCTAACACTTAATGTGGAGAAAGAGATGTCCTGTAGGCCTATGGGTTGATTGTGCGTTGATCTGTTGGTAATGCCTCGGGGTTCCGGTGGGCATGTAAACAAAGGCATAATGCTGCGCTATAGCCTACTTTGTGGCCTCACCCAGTTGCATAGCGACACTTATTGTTTAGGTGTCTTTTAATAAGCAGGTAGTCATATCATTAGCTAGAACTAGCTGGATCTGATCGATATGGACATAAACGCGAGTGAAGTCTAATCTGACGGGAGAGAGAGATCAGCTGCTGCTGACGAGTCGACAATCAGCTCTGCATGATCACATGCAGCGGTGAGCAGAACAAAACACACACTTCAGGTTAGAATATCACACGTAGCTATTTTAATTACCTCTCAAACTACCTAAACTAGTTATAGATATGTTTAGTTTTACTGTCGGGTCACTCATTACTGGATCCGCGAGCTGCATGATACTGACGGGCTGTCAGGAGAGGGAGAGCGCTCCGTTTATTATTCCCGTGTTATTGTAAATTACTGTACACTTTTGAATAATGTAGTTAATCTACTATAATTAGTTTGTTTAATATCGAATCATATTAATTTGTTTTAAAGCACAATAAATAACAAAGAAGACCTTTGACCGGCACTTTTCTCATTTTGTCCGGAAGATTTAAACTTTAACGGACATGTTGACCGGCGAAAACATATTCTAACGGGAACTCTGGTATCAGGATAAAGTCCTATTTTTATATCAAGAGATAGGCTAATTAACATTGTGGATAAGATAGAAGGATGGAGGGAGACATAAATATATACGTTTGAAATAAATCCAACAGAGACGACTGATTTTAAACAGAGGTGCACCCTGAAGTGCAGTCTGTGTACGCTATGGAGACATTGTCCTTATAAGGTAATGTATTTCTTACTGTCTCATACTGTCCTGTGCCCAGTGATCCTGCTGACTTTCAGAAAGCAGTTTGGGTGTGTGGAAGTTGAACCTGAAACATCAAAAGCATGTGTTGGTTGGTGTGGGTGTATCTGTCTGAGTTACTGTTAATCCTCATAGAACAATGGTGGCAGTCGGTCTTAATAAATGTCCTTACTTTGATCCAAAACCTCACACACACATCAGCATTACTGAGTAACTTTTAGTGTGAGCTTTGTGCGCATACAAGTGTCTATAAATCACATTTAGTAGCCCCCATGCAGCCTAAAACTGAATGTATTTAAATGCATGCTATGGCTATTTGTATATCAATATGACCTTTTATATGCAAATAGTATTTAGCCCAAGCCAATTAGTTGTTATGTAGAAAGTGTTACAATCAACAAACTAACAAGCTTTTAACTACAATTATGAAAATCCTATCTTGGAATGCTTTTAAGTTATTCACATTAATAACTTTAACTTTAGAAATTGTTTGACATTTTGGGAAGTTGTTTTAGCATGAAAACTTGGAAAAGGAGGAAAACAGCAAGCAACTACAGGGAACTATGTGAAGACCAAGAGGCATCAAACATTACCCTTAGTTAAATCAACTTAAATGGCAAGTTTTTTTTCAAACACTTCTTTTTGCACATATTAAACAAACTAGATACAATGGTTTACTTAGTAAGCTTTACATGTAGCCTTTGGACAGAACAAGGCCACTGTAGCTGCTACCCCTGTTTAAAGTCTTTAAGCTAAGCTAAGCTAACCAGCTGCTGGCTAAAGCTTTAAGAAAGACTTGTATTTCCCAAAATGTCAAGTTTCTTACTGCTTTCACATTGGATACAATAATAACTGTAAGGGCCTACAGTTGCTTCAACAAAAGTTCCTTATTAAAATGGATTAGGTTTCTACATTGTGCTACTACACATATATTCCTTTAACCTTCCACTAAGATGCTATGTTGCTCTTTATCATTGACCATTCACTGCTAAACCCCACACTGAACTTTTCCATTGCATTATTTACATTTTTTCCACAGCTCAGCCCACTTTAAGACCTGCCACTTTGCTGCGGCATTCCAAGATAAGCCTGCTAGTCGCAGTCCTTAACTTTTATGATTGTGGGAATTTGTCTCTAGCCACATGTACTTGTGTTGGATCAAAGAGTTGGAGTAGAGGTAAATGGCTGCAGAAGTCAGAGAGCACCATAAATTCTCCTTTTGCTTAAACCGTTGACAGATGTAACCTAGTAACATCACTACAAGGTGTAGTACAAATAAGAAAGGTGTATCTCATGTCAATTATGTCGTTTTTGCAGCGTTAGATGCCATGTCAGGGCTTGGAAATGGCATCTATGCCAAGTCCATCACAACTACATACACCCTGGTGCCACTGGGTATTGCCAAGTCAATTATTGTCAGCTGGTAGAGTGAAAGGTAAGATGGGAGGGTCAGGTTTCACAAGCCTATTTGGTTTGTTGTTATGGTAACTGAAGCCAGACACCTCCTCAGGTGACATCAGGTACAATAATGAAGCATGGATCCGGAGCAGAGGGAGCCTTTTAAAGTATGAATGCTGGTCTTCACAATCATGACACATGTATGTGCATGTACAACAGCAACAACTCTTATAATTTGGAAAAAACAACCTTCAAATTGAAACTTGAGAAGTTGGTTGGTCTATCAGCGTGACCCTGTGCCCTCCTCTTTATCTCAGTCCTAACACAGCCAGGCAAACTAAATAATTCAGACCCATGAGAGCCATGGTTGGCACCCTAAATAAACTATTGTGCTAAATGAGATCACACAGGGGGAAGAGAAACACTGAGCCAATTGTGCCATCTACTGGTAAAGAATGGAAAGCCACATATAGACTTATTTTAGATGAGTGTGTTCTTGTACCTCTGTACTTGTGACCATAGGTATTAAAAGATGAGAGAAATCCCTTAAAGTGAGTTTATTCATTTTACAAACAAATAGCTGAATTCAAAAGCAACAAAATGCACAAATGTTAAATTGAATAATCAAGGAGGTTTTCCTTCTACAACCATATTTCTTCTGATATGATCAATACAATAAAAATCCATACTACAGTGTTGGGTAAGGGGATGTAATTGTGGTGAAAGTCATAGTTGGGATTAATTATAGGAATACGCAGCACTGACATACACCTTGGATCAGTATAGTGTCAAATGATAGGATGAGGTCAATAAAAGGTCCTCAGAAATATAGCAAATCAAACACTATGTCAAGTTATAGCATTACAAATGAGTACAATGTGGACAGTTCTGTCGAATAACTCAATCTACTGCATAAGAGAGGTAATAATAGAGCATGTTTCTATTAAAAAACATTTAAATAAGTCGTCTGGAATCATAGCTAATCATGTGTAAAAATAATAACCCGTCAGTGAATAATCCACCATCTTTTCCAAATGTGTTTTGCATCAGCAGCTCATACTCCATCCTCCCCCTCATCCCAACTGTTCTATAATTTACTCTGGATGCTCCGCCAGTTGCATAATACACACGTGATTGTGCAGCCCTCTAGAAAATACCGATTTGGGATTAAGGGGTTTATTACGGAGTTTCTAATTTAATGCCCGGGGGAGGATTTGGAAAATCTCTACAGTGGTACTTTTGCTGAAAGACATCAGAAGAAGGTTGCAAACAGAAACAAATCAATCCTATGTGTATGTAAATGTGGACATTTGTGAGTGTGTTGAGATTAGTTTAGGGGATTCCCATCTAGGCCTGTTGTTTGCTGCACAATCTCTGAAGATAAAAACCCTAAGTGATATCCCAAATAAGCTTATCGTTTTTACAGATAGAGATCCAATGATATGTTAATGCAAGCCTACAATGGAGTGCTTTTTAATTACGCAAGTCTACCAGGAAATGTAATCTGCGTTAATGTGAAATAAAAGCCAAGTAATCTAATATGGGTGCCTATAATACACGTTGGAGTTACTCTGTGCTTTGAATATCATCTGATCTGATGCAAAATACTTCTCTATTGGACATTTCTCAAGACTTTAGACATCTATTTTATGTTCTTTAAAGGTCTGCAGAATGTCTGAACTGTAGATGGAGAGTCTTCTCTGTCAGTGCCTCAGACATTTACCTAGGCAAATTTGTTCAGGCAAGCTAAATGTGAAATTTGGTCTTCAGTAAAAGCTAAAGCGACACAAACATGGAATTTTCATCTACAGAAGCTGCAACTGAGAGACGGTGAGACACAACTATGACTTTTTCTGACCTTTTTTAAATGTGAAAAAGGACTTGAACTTGGAAAGTCTGATCCACTTTTGTGCTTGAATTCTTATGTAGGCTGCTCACAGAAAGTGTGAGGAGAACTCGAAAGTGGCAACACGGTAGCCGAAGGACAATCAGGCCAAAGCTCTAGTGAGACTACACCGATTCTCATTGGCCTCATTGTTAGTCTGACTGCAGACATAGAGAGTTCTTGTGATTACTTCCCTCTAATCTACAGTCTCATCTCAGAGGTCAGAAGTCAGTTTACTCCTGTTTCTCTCTATATCTCACTTTCTACCCATTACGCTCTTCGGTCCTTCAAAACCCTCCTCTTCTGTGAGCATCAGATCCAAAATTAATTTGCACTATAAGTGCAGGGACGGGAGCATTGTCAAGACTGCTTCACAACTCAGAACCACAATTGCTCAAATAGAGGGATACATGGGAAAGCGATCACATGCCGAAGACAAGAAGAATCTCACAGACGGACAAAACAAACATGAGAAGGTTGGTGTTTCAAGACTGTCAAGTTTCTGGTTCTGAATTGTATTGTTTTGGATGTGTGGAAAATGTGCAAGAAAAATGCTGCTCAAGTTTACATTCATCTTTGATGAACTCACTTAAACTCATTGACCTCAGTAGGCTTCTCAAGCGAGCAAACCCAGAGCACCATGAAGAGAGAGGAATCCACCTTTAAACCTAATTAATTTGATGCATTTATTAAGACAAACATACATTGATTTGTATGTTAAGTTATGGTAATTGGTCATAGTAAGCGGTGAAAATGATTGCTATTGCAAAACATTAAATATCTTGTACAAAAAATAAACATTGGCCCTACATTATATAATATTATTATGTGATACAATTGTACAATATTTGAGGGGCATTCGGTCAGTGGGTTTTTATTCTGGGAACTTTGATGGTTTAGTGTAGCAACCGTTGGCAGTTTTTATAACATCCTTTAACAATCATTGTACTCTAACATCAGTTTATTTAGACCCAGTAGCCTACTTCCCCAAGAATTGTTGTCATGGAATGGACCTTGAAACATAAATTGCCAATATGTTAGTGAAAAGTAGCTAAACTTAATTTTACTGGTCTGTACTTTTCCTTTGATGTCTCCTTAAATTATTTATTTAATTTGGACAGAGAATGTTGATATATTTTAGTAAGAGCTTAGATATTTGTGTTAATAATATGTGAAAGATGTGAAAACCCACTTGGCAATAATAACTTATTATTATTCTGATATTAAAGAATAACTGAACAGAATATATTTAACTACGAATAATCCTAACAATTTGACATTTTAAATGTTTATTTACACCCATGAGGCATTTTAACAGAGTATATATTCAAACGAAACCCAGAGCACCATAATAATAAGAAAATAATATGAAGTCTTCTGTGTCACTTTGCACTATGCTTAATGACATTATACTGACGCCATTGTTTACCCACGTGTTTTTATAATGTAACAGTGTGAAAGTGGCAGCCACAGGGCGGTGGTAAGAGGCGGGTTTATCTCCTCTGTCTCCGAAGCATCTCTCCACGCTAACGGCCCCTTTAAGAAAGCAGCACCGAACACTGACGAAATTTCCTCGGCCCTGCTCCATGGCTCCCTGCCCGTTTCTGAGAAATCAACAAGAGACGAAGGCAGCAAGCTAGTATCTGTAAGCTCTGGGCAAACGGTGCTAGTCACGGCAGCTCTCTCCAGTCAGGAGGGGGACGCAACTGGTTATTTTCTTTCACAGTATTTCCCCTGCCAACACTCAGCAGGACACGACGTTTAGTCGGTGGACGGAGATACAAGCGGATATTATCGGGATGGATGGACCGAGTGAGCAGCTTTTCACCGTGGGACTGGCGCTAATATAGACGTCCTGAGCAGCAGGTGTACTGAAGGATAACACAGACTAAAGGCAATCTCAGTGTTCATGAAACTTTGCTACGATTTACGTGCTGGGTAAGAATATTTCGCTTATTTTCAAACGTTTAATGTAAGAAGAAATGTTGTTGTTTTATGTCAACCGCCTGTCTGACTGTTTTGTTGGGTCAGCCAATATGCGGATTATTTGGCTCTCATGTTGTGTATGTTTCAGATATGAGAAAATGTCCGACCATTTTAGGTTTTATTTAGACAGTTTTCTCTAGGCCTAACGTTAGCTGACTTCAAACTCTAGCGTTTAATTCAGTCGTTGAGTCCATTGCTAACAAATATAACGGTCACACATTTGAATTCAACAGTGCAGTTTGGCCTAGCTGACGTCAAACTGTACAATCTTTGGAGGGAGTCCTGAACATCACAGTCTAACGGTCGTCCCCTTTAAATCACATTTTAAATATAATATACTATTTATAAAACACGTGTTTTGCTGGTTTTTACTGGTTGTGTTTTTTGTTGGTTTTTCTTAGCTTTAAAAAACCGGTAATATCCATATCACTAAGGGGGGAGAAGTACTCGGGTCGTGTACTCAAGTAAAAGTACAAAAGTATTAGCATACAAATAAGTATCCAAATTGGTCCATTTCAGAATAATCCTTATTACATGTTTTGATTATAATTATTGAGTCATGAATGTGTTTATCAAAGCTGGTAAAGGTGCAGCTAGTTTTAATAACTTTATATACTGCAGGATAGCTTGTGAATTTACTCCAGGTGTAACTAAAGACTTATTTAAGAGTTGATTGTATTTCACATCATTGATCCAAATCTGTGAAGTTTACCTCTGAATTGTAGTGGAGTAAAAGTACAAAGTAGCATAAAATGAAAACACTCAAGTAAAGTACAAGTATCCCAAAATTGTACTTATATACAGTACTTGGGTAAATGCACTTAGTTACTTCCCACCTGCATATCACTGAGTATTATCTAGCCTGGCTACTGTTTTTTAGAAGTTATTGGTTGAGTGTTTTCATTAATGTTCGTACGTAACACAATGAAGTTGCAGACTTTAAACTGGAACATAAATCTTAATTAAACAGTTTTACCTAGTTTGACATTTTGGTCAAAGTTACATAATCTATTTGTAAGTGCATGTATATATTAAGCTTGGGGTGGTGTGTTCACTGACGGTAGGAAGCTCTGACATCTATGTGACAGTGCTGTTTAGAAGGTGCTGTCAAACCTAAATCAATTACCGATTCATTTCAATGGGGAAGTAGGGACTAACATTTGTTTCCTACCCTGATTTGACCCCGCCTAACATGAGTTCAAATCTGGTGACACTGTCCCCATTGTCCATCTAATTTGAGAGAGGGCAGATTGACATGTTGTTAAGGAAGTATTGATTGTTTATATCTCTCATTATATAACCGCATGGTGAAATACCAGAAGTAGAGGAGGAGGGGTGCTGCATCAATGACAGGTTGAGGGTAACACATTATTATTTTTTAAATCATGTCTATTGTAGCTAAAATGTTCCTTTGCCATTCTGGTCTGACTATGTTCCTGATGCACGAGGCCACTATATTTATATATCCTGTTCAAAACACTCATGCTAGTTGTCTGTGTAAAAAAGTGAATCAGCAGGTGAATCCTTATAACACAGCTTACATTTATTACTTTCTGGGGGAAAAAACTACAATTATTTTGTCTCCATTTGCATATTGTATGACAAAATCAATGCCAAACATATCATGCACCTGACTGAAAACACAAATTAAAAGCTGCACTGACATAAAATAACCTGCACATGAGGTCGGCTTTGAAAAATGCATGCCATGACTGACTTTTATTTTTGTTCAGCCAGCTACACGTTGCCCAGGGGTTTTCATTAGTACTTTAGATAAAAGCAAGTGCATTCTTCTCGTTCCGTCCGTATCTTTGTTGTATCAAGATTTGGTGACTGGAGCTCTACCAAACCCCTGTTTAGCCTCCGACTACAAACAGAGCAGAATGTGTCTAATAGGTGTAATTACATTTGATCATATCTGCAGTCCCCTCTTTTCCTCCCACTCTATCCCCAGGGATGACATCAAATTAAAATGAGGCTTTGTGAAAACATTTACAAAAAGCAATATAAACAATATGGTTTAAGGTGGTTGAATTGTTGCCTGTAGGCTGATTAGAACATATCTATGTTTCCCTTATGAATGTGAGTTAACTTCTGTTTTTGTATTATATCATAACTTAGTACTTTTTTTTAACATATGTAACATTAAGCTGTCTGTGGCTCTTTCCTGCTGATGCAAATGTCCCCTCTGTGGGACTAATAAAGGTATTCTGATTAGAAGCTAGAACTTGGATTATTCTGATTCCTCTTTGTCTTAAAAAAGTTGTGCAGGACTCAGACTGAGTCCTAAAACCCTGAAAAGAGTTAGCATTGTACTAAACAAATGGTGTTAATATGTTGAGTTACTCCTGCTTAACAAAACGTAAAATAGTCATAAAGGTTTGCTTGCCTCCGAACCTTTCTTTTTGGTATCCATGAGTGACTGGCTGTTTTTGCTTTAGTACAAAATCCAATGGAAAACCCCATTGACTATTTGTTGAGGGAGACCTTTGGATGCTAATTTCCTTGTCAGCCTACAGAAGTACGTCATCCATGTACCATTTTATGGCTCGTGAAAAGTGTTGAAATTGAGACTACAGGTGAGCCTTTGGCCGTACTGAGCCTTATTGCAGAAACCAAGCAGCATTGATGATGACGACAGGATAGCCTTACATGGTTTTATGCAGCTCAGCCACCAAAGCAGAAACACTTCTCTGTAGCATTTCCAGCTAACAAGAACTTACTGTCAAACTTTCTCTTGTTGGAAAACAAAACCTGACTGCCCCTAATGTCCCAGAACAGACAGTAAGTGGCCTACTTGTGCGAGTGCTCCAGCCTGTATTGTGCTCAACAGTATGTGGTTGTTTAAGTGATTCCACCCCCCCCCCCCCCCACTCTTTCATGCATGCTTGATAGGCGACAGCTATAAAAGATCTACTCATGTGGCTATACCACACCAGTATCCTCTTATAGATGCAGATAGCCAGGGGGCGGGTCGTGTACCATACACCTGATGGCTATCTAAGTAAGATGAGTGTATTTGTGAACAGCTGAGAAGATTACTGGCCTATCATACAGTGTACAAAACAAATTGATGTCAGATGAAAGTAGCCATGACCTGTTGCTATTGCATAAAAGAATGTGATGCATGTTATAGCACTCATAAATATGCATTTCTGTTTTATGTTTCATATTATCCAAACATACTTGCGATAGTGTAGTGAAACATAAGATTGACAGATTATATGACCTAGAGCTAACATAAATAGTCAAAAAGACTAAAGATTTTAAAGCATATTTGAAAATATCCTGGTTCCAGTTTCTAAAATGTGAATACTCTTGTCTTTTTGTTATGGTAAACTAACTATCTTAGCATTTTGGGCTGTTGGTTGATGAATCTATTTGCCGATTGACCGAAGGATTAATCACTCGCTAAAGCAGTAATTACTAAATGAATTAGTAGAAACGACAGCTATGTAGAGCAGAGGGCATCCTAAAGCCTGATATCCATGAGTGACTGTGATTGGCTGATGGCTCCGAGTGTGACCAAGAGTAACCTCGAGCTACTACGGGTCATTAGCAGAAGATTACTCAGTCGGACCAAAGCATACGCAAGCACTCCCAGAAGCCGTCTATATTCTACAGCTAACCCACACCGGGATTATGAAGATACTCACCCTTAGCTAATGTACTACTCAGTAATAAACACCATCTCTGCGTGTGTGTAGCTATGTTTTTTATTTAGTTTTATGCCTCTCGGTTGTTGTCTTATTATGGTGACAGTGTGTTAGCAATGGTTTATGATAACTGTGGATGGAGGTGTCCTCGTGTTTTGTACATAACCGAGCATATGAGGACGCTTTGTGTATTCCCTAGCGCAACATTCACATAGTGATCAGACCTTGAGATGCACCCCCCCCTTTCTCCTCCTCCTCCTGTCCTCTCTTTTTCATCCTTTCATTTTCATTTTGAAAATGTTGTGTATGGACTGGAAAAAAAAAACTTAAAAAATAAATATAAGAAAGGTAGCCTAGAGAACACTGGAAATGAAATGAAAGGAGGCGAGGGTTGGCATGTAATGGCCTTTTAAATAACAGCTTAGTTCATATGAATTATGACTGTGGTTCATAAATATTACGGCTTTCTTTCGGACTGAATAGAGCGTGATTTGTTTATTGCAGTTATTAATCGAACTCTGAATGAAAATGTCAAAGTGTTCGACGTTTTTCCAATCGGTAAATGTGTTTCCGATGCTTTCATTAGTCGCTATTGTTCCGGGTAGATTTTTCTGCTGGATAACCGCAGGTGGCTTGTTGCTCACTAAGCTGCAGCAGCAAGGCTGGTTCAGGTGCTTGTTGTGAGAACAGATTTCATTATGACAGGTGTCTTGAGAAGGGGAGTGTTTATCGAAGCTGCCACTCACCATGTTTCCACTCAGCCCTCAGGGAGGAAAGGTCAACCCACAAATCACCTCTGCAATTTCCACTTATGTGTCCCCATGTGGGTGGGTTATCAACATGTGGAAATAAAATGTGATCTCTCTTTTTCTCGTCTCAGTCCCTCCTACACAGATAATGTGAAGTTTTGTGTGGATAAAAAAAGTACAAAAGTGACTGACTGTAGGGCTGCATCATTGCGAGAAAATAGACATAATTGAGCTCATATTGTAATTGCAATATTATAGAGAATGACCACTTTTGAAAAATGATTTACATTAACATTAAGAAATATAATATAAATGATGAACTGTGTGCCAAACACAGGTTTTGTATATAGTTTGTAGAATAGTGTGTAGGCCAGGACTTCTCTACAGCACCATATTCAAATATTATCTTTACATATTTTACTTTTTTCAAATATTGCTCACTGCCATTTGGATATTGCACCATATTGCGACTTACGAACTTTTTAAAATCTATAATATAATAATAATAAATATAATATGTACAGCACTTTGGCTCGACCAAAAATCGTTTATAAATGTGCTATATAATAATAATTATAATAATTATAATAATTTTTATATATATATTATATTAATTATATAATAATTATAATAATTTGATTTGATAAATGAAAAATCATTTCATTATGGACCCTCATGGCAAAAACTCAATGTTGAATTTAACTCTTCTTTCTCTGCTTGTAAATGCATCATCTAATAATCCAGGAAGTCATCAGAATAAAGTGTTACAATTATTTAGTAGCCTGATCCCAAGATCATTGGAGATGGAGAGATTAAGCTTGGTTTAGGACTGCTCTAAGATTTTTATGTTAGTGTGTCAAACAAGCCTTTTCTATACAGGCAGATACATAACCAACTGTAGTAAAACGTCACTAGGAAGTTACGCATCGTCCTTCCTGATTGGGGACTGCATTTATATCCTTAAAGAATCGAGGGGGCAAGGGTTGATTTTTAAACGGGCTTTGGGATGTACCCTTAGTGTTCATATGAGATGAGAGTGACTGGTGTGATGCCTCCCTTATGTTTCAATCAATCAGAGAAAAGATCTCAGACAATATAAATGTTTGTAGTTTGACAGCCAGTCAAGCAGATTAAGTAATCTCTGAGGGATTAAACCAAGGAGAGCGACCCTTAATCCTTTCCCAAATGACAAATCATAGCAGTCAAAAATCGACATGTTCACGTTGACTGCGCATTGTGTAGCTTAGCTTCTGAAAAGGCAGACGGATTGTTTTGACAATGTGGTGACATACTGCGGTCGGCCATATTTATGCTACAGCCTCCTTGTATAGGAGTACTACAGGCCCAGGGGAATCTCACTGTTGTTCCATTCAGTCAGCATTTCTTATTAAAGAAAGCTTTTAATGGGGTTGTTGGCTATTAGGCAACACTTTTGGGTGCATTCAGAGTTTAATAGGCCAATACGACATTTGTGATCTAGTGGCAGTGTTTGCTTGCACATGCTGTAACAGTTTGGCACCTGTTCTGGTCTAAAAATGGCCTCCTATATGGATGCTTATCGCAAATGTGTACTGGTTCAATGCTGACTTTAATGAGCATTAAAGAGGTCATCAATCCTATTTGTACATTGTTTCTATCAGTAAGAACTACTCCTAATGCCGTCTGTATGTTGCAAACAATTCAGTAGCTTAACTCCTGTGATACGGGATGACAGAAAACAGCACCCCTGCTATATCTGTCACCATTAGCTCAGCGCTTGATACCAAAACACAAGCTCTAAGCCTTTTGCCACCTCGCACATCCACTGCCACCGCTCCTGCTATGGAAATGAAATCAATACAAGAGGTGATGAGATGTGCTGCTGTCAACTGTTTGCCACAGGAGTGAAAGGATGTGGTCCTCATTTCTCTAACAGGGTTACTGGTTCCTTCTTCCTGTGTAGGCCAAAGGGGAAAGCACAATCACTGACAAGGTTAGCGCTTCAATGGCTTCAGAGGTTATGTCATAATGTTACCTTGAGGAAGGTTTGCAGAGGGGAAAAAAGCTGGATTAAAATGGATGGATTAGGTGGAAGATTGGACTGAGCGCAAAATAAAATACCAATAAGTCTTTAACCTCATCAGAGGTCACTGTTTCATGAAGTCACAGTTTGTTTTGTGGAAGTCACTGTCTAAAGCGAAGAGGTGGAATTAAGTGTTTGAACTGAGCATCGAATAAACCTGATGACAGTTATTTAAGTTTATTTTTACTTTTGGGTTGTTGGATCGGTTGGTCCATCACTGTTTTTCAGACAACATTCTGGTGACATTTTAATGCTCTATGGTAATTTCCATATTATGTCACCTTCATCAAATGTGCATTTCACGATTATGTCCAAAACAACAATTTTGATCAATCGTTGAATCTTTAGACAAAACATGTAATGCACAGTCGATCATGTTCATTTAATTTGGGTAGCCAAACAAATTGTGAAACAGTTTTCAGTTCATCGTGTTCCCTAGGTATTGTGAATGGTAACCACTTCAATCATTTTACCACACAGTCATACTAACGACAGCCCCCTGTGTTTTGTGTCCCCTCAGGGTTGCCGTCCGCCATGTTAAGGTAAAGCCCAGGTGCGCGGTGTTGACCATGCTAAAGCGCCTGGACAAGATCCGCTTCAGAGGCCCCAGGACGAGAGAAGACTTCCCGGATCTGGCCGAGTCGCCGCCCGCCTCCGACAACGAATGTAGCGACGAAGTGCAGCTGAAGCCCAGACCATCTCTGCGAGAGACGGAGGAGATCCTGCGAGACCCTGTGAGTGCTCAACACGCATGTACATGTGTGAACGTGTGTGTGTGTGTGTGTGTGTGTGTGTGTGTGTGTGTGTGTCAGGGTCATTTGCAGTTTCTTGGAAAAGCGTGATTATGATATTTTTTTCATGAATTTCACCCGTAGTTCCCTCTTTCTCTCCTCTTTCGCTTGATATCTTTGACTGTCCCTTTTGAGTCAAGGGTTATTTCTCTTTTGTCTTACACATTTAACCTTAACAGGCAGCGTTTCTTTTCAAATCTACCCATGAATTATTCTGTTTGAAAAGAATGCTCTGCCCTCAGTGTGACTCTAGCATCATTTCCAGAAAAACAACATCAATGGAATATGCAGTTGGAGGATCCTAAGCTAGCTTAATGCATTTTTAGGAAACTTGGTTATTTTATTCAAACCCACTTAGTTGTTACTTGGTAGGGAGGAAGTGATGCAAGGAAGGGTTGTCATTGTAAAGATATATGGAGGAGATGAAAGCAATACAGAGACATGGAGACATGGAATAGAGATGGCAATACACAGCAGACTAGAGCAGAAATGGTGAAAGCAGTGGTGAGATGAACACATTGGATCCAGGGAAGGGAGTGAAAATAAAAGCAGAGGAAAGATTAAAAAGTGATAAAGGAGGCTAGAGGGCCGTGATCGAGCCTCTGAAGATTGGCATCTGAGAAGTCTAGAGGGGAGGAGACGGACAAGATGAACTGGAAATGATGAGAGGACAAACTCACCAGCCTCGACATGAAAATCAGATCATGTTTTCTTGAAATCTCTACTTCCCACGCATGGTACTGTTCATATTTCATGAAATATTTGACTCCGTCTTATCTTCGTGGCTCTGTAAAACAGCCGTAATGTCGCCACCATCATGCACATGGAGTGATGGGAAGATAACCCGAAATGAAAACACAGATTAGACCAGACAATTCTATCATTTCCTGAATGAAGACAATACCGATCTCTGCCTTCTTTCACTTTCTTTCTTTGCAAGTCATCAAATAAACATCTGTTGCTGTTGAGTGTAAGTCAGTGATCTAGCTGGCCATTTTTGCATATTCTACCCATTCTACATGCATGCATAGACTTGTGCCTTCGGTCATGCACAGACAGGTGTGTGTAGTCTGTATGTTTTCACCTGCGTTAAAACCATCCCACTGGAACGGCATCGCCTACATCACGGTGCTGATGACTCACACTTTGTAGCCTCAAAATAGACCAAGCTAGCACCCATCCCTGCTGGGAAACCCACGCCGCACACACACAAACACTATTGAGGCATGCACACAGCATTCTGTTGCATTTCATATAGAAAAGCTGCCTCTCTGTTGGCTGAACTCTCATATGCCTTTCAGAAGTCCCAGACACAATCCGGCAGCACCAGATTAAAATAACCTGCCTCTGAGCGTCACCTTCATTACCTCATACGGTAAAAGGGAGACAGAGTGTGCCCTTGTGCCGCATGCACTGGGACCTTTTGACAAACTAGCCTGTGACGTCCATACTAAATAGGCTGAATGTCACCGGGCAGATGGTGTTTAGTCGTTGCACAGACAACTGCATGCAACCTCACTGGCCTCTGCTGCTCCATCAGGTGGCTGCCTCCCTGCATGTGTGGTACTTAGTATCATCTCCCCCATTATCTATAGTACATGCAGACAGGTAATGTGCAGGTTAGGGCAATGCTCAATAATAACGTAGGAATAAACTCTAACGTTGCTACTAGGATTTTACAATCCCATAGAAATATCATAAACTCAATTACTGTGGTTGTACAATGAATAATGAGCAACATAGATATAAATGTATTCCTAGATTCTTTCTAGTTGAATGGATACATTTTATTATTTTAATTCCCACAAAGCTACAATATCATTTCTTTAAAACGAACATTACGATGCAGCTCAGCCAACCATCAGTGCTGAACCGCCCTTTTAATTTGCAGCTCGGTGCAGAAGTCAGTGTTCTCAGTGGGTCTTTAATGCTCGAGCCTGTCATCGTATCCGCAGAATTTAAGACTAATTCTCTTATCAGTTTCATCGTCAGGGCCAAGCAACAACTCTATAATGGCAAACAAACGAAAATCCTTTCGAAATGGCAGTTCTGGATAGAAATGTCTCAATTTTGTAGCAATCTAAAGTTAAACCGCATGTTGTTTCTAATGGGGTTTGCATGTATCCACCACAGCGTACATAAGAAATAGATCAACCACATACCAGCTTGCAAGACAGAGCTGTGGATTGCAGCTGATGCCGGATGATTGTGATTGTCTTTACCATGAAGACTGCTGTTTTGGTTTTCTATGTATCTACTATTTTTAAAGTGATAATATTTGAATGTTCAAATGTAGCTGGTTTGCCCCGCTGGTTTAGTATCTGCAACATACCTGAGGTCTTCTTGGATAGGGTGGACACAACAAAAAGTCAGACAACTTCAGTGTTTGCAGGAAATCAGTTTTGTTGGCGAGGAAGATGTATGGTTTCTCAGAAAAGTGAAAGTAGAACAGGCAGTTAAGATAAAATGATATATGTCAATAAAACTCCACATCCTTTTCGCCGTCAGAATTGCATTGCACCAGCAGCAGATTTGTCAGTGTCTCTAAAAGCTTCTCTTGTATATTTATCTCAATTCAACTGTTATGTAGCATAAAGACAGGCAATAAACACTAGATTCCATCATATTATTTTACTTGTATTGGTACATATATGTGGTCTGACTTGTATTTTCTGTGACAGCCCGATATCTTTGTTAATTCTTGGTTGACTTAACAACTTCCACCAGCCTGCTAGAGCAACAATTTGGCAAACATGGAGAAGGGATCCTGTGGTTTTGTGTTTTTACGAGGAAAACAAAGTGTTGAAATCACACCTTCTCTACTGCCCTTCCCGCTGTGAGACACATCGAGCCTCATGAGAAAGTTTCAGGCTCAGCAAGCACACGCCTTTTCCCAACAAAGGAGAAAGTATGTGAGATCCCTCGAGCTCATCTTTCTCTAGGATAAACCAGACATTTCTGTGTCAGGTCTGCACTGAGGCAACCCCACAAGCATTGTGCTTCTAGAGGCCGAGGACAGAGAAGAAGAAGAATGGATTGAGGATAAAAAAAGATGACTAAGGAATAGGATAGGGATATCAGTCAGTGGAAGTCTATAAACAAGAGGAACAAATGGTGACCAGACTCGGACAGTTCAATCAGTCCTGCCATCATTTTAAAAGTGATGTTTCTGTCGCTGCAGTCACAGCCGTTGCTAAACAGGAAAACAATGTATTTGAAGAAGTAATGCTGTCATTTTGAAATCAATAAAATTATGTTAAAAACGATTAATTTGTGTGAAACGTTGATTATTTACTAAGTAGACATGTAGTAAGCGAGATAATGTGGAGCTAGCCAGTCATTTTTTGCGAATACTACCACGACAGGGTGACCAGGACCCCCGACACATGACTGCCTTGCTGTAGGTTATCCCTTACATACAGTATGTACTTTACTCGCATATCTTTTCCTTTGCTTGTTTCTTTAGTCGTGGGCGATATACTGACTTTGTTCTAGTAGAAATGACAGAAAGATAACCAGAGGTGTTGATTGAGACTTATTTGCAATTTAGATGTCCTAATGCAATGTAGAAAATTAGTATTCTACACCAGACCGAAGGGATAAGTCTTGCATTTATAATCAGTTTTGCTCAGTGACCTTACATCCACCTTGAGCAGAACTAACAGCTACATAATCAAAAGCGTGGGAGTGGAGTGAAGCAAAGTTAAATAGCATAAATTACAAGTTTTGATGCTTTCAATCGTAGAATACAAAGTCATGGTAAAGATACTGGAGGACACAGTGAGATTGGAGGAGGCAGAGGGGAATACGATAATTAATCAGCCGATTATCGCCCTCGGTGACGTCAGTGCTTGACCTACTTTTGATTACAGGAGGTATTGACTGAGATTTGACTACCTCATTAAATAACATGAACTTGAACGTCCTGTCCTTATTGAGTTGCATTCTGGCAACCAACCACAGAGCTGTGGCTGATCATCGTAATGCAGCAAAACTTCTTTACACTCCCGCCGCCTGCTCTCGACATTTCATTCACACACCCTCTTTCCGTCTCTATCCTTCACTCAGCATCCTTTTTCCTCTCCGTGACACACTCCCAAAAGAGGCATTTATTTGTCTTCTTTGAAGTGCATCTTTATTCAGGGACACTCTCTCCATCCTTGTCTCCATGTCGCCCCACCTGCTTATCTTGTTGAGCGTTTTGGCTCGCCCCCAAAGCACATTCTTCAGGTCAATGTCAGTTTTGTGCTATCGCTCTTTCTCCCTCCCTGGCACTCCCGCGCTGCCTCTTTGCGGAGAGCACATCCGCCAAAGACATTGCGGTGGTGTGTCTACGCAGGGACACACAAACCCATGCTGTCGGGGAGAAGCTGCTGCAGCCTGTGTGTGTGTGTGTTAGTCTTTTAAAGGACCCTTGCTGTAGGCGAGCAGCAAATTCTCAACCTGCAGTGCTCATCATCCGCTAGCAGTTAGCCGTCTCTCCCCTCCTCTCGCTCTTTCCTCTCCTCTCCCTCCTCACACTCTGTCCCACATTCCTCTCCTCTCTGACAAAGTCGTTACCTCTCCCTCATTCACTCGATACACCTACACACATGTTGTGTTGCTAGTTGTGTGTGTTAGGGGTTTAAAGCCCTGAGTCATAAGGGTGTGTGAGTCATCAGTGTTGCCGTAGTCGGAGGAAGGGATTCTCCTCTATTTTTCGCCTCCTAGCTCGCTACAGCTGGACTCAGACCGGGATAGGACGCGTCAGTGTGAGTCATGGTGCCATGCTATTCCATATGTGTGTGTGTGTGTGTGTGTGTGTTAGATCATATGGGATTCCCCTGCTTGTGTTCTGTTGTTATGAAGTCATTCTAAAACCAAATATTTTTTTGTTTTTCTTGTTTGTGGATGCAAATGTTTGTGTGCGTGTGTGCTCCGTCCCCTGTATGTACACTTGTGTGTGTGTGTGTGTGTATGTGTGTACACAGGCTGGTTCGGGGTCTCCCACCATGGCTGCGGCCATCCAGGACTTCCAGAGGTCGGAGTCAGACCGACTCAACGAAGTCAAAGGTCACCTGGAAATTGCCTTACTCGAGAAACATTTCCTACGTAAGTACACGTGCACGCACTCGAAGTGAACAGTCTAAGAGTATTGCGTTGGGTACGTGTTATGCCAATAACAATTAAATGTGTTGCTCTGTTTCTATTGGTAGTGTTTACTGGTTTTAGTTTCCCGCAGAATGCTTTGTCATCTATTTTCAGTTAGAGATTCCCCTCATTACCCAGAATCCACCTTGCCAGTTACCAGAGAAAAGTCCCGTACTTGTGTCGTTAAGACTGTGGTTGTACAGTTTGTGAGGTGAGGTTGTCTGCAGCAAAAGTCTAGAGATAGTGACTTTGTGATGTGGAGATACAGCTTGTTTCTATGATCTCTTATCTATAGCGCCTTTCTAAATGCATACCGAATGGTGACTGCAGCAGGAAGCCTCTGTTTGATAAGAGGCTCTTGTTAAAGTCGGCTGTTGCTGAAATGAAAAATCTCTCCTCATCACCCCACGCTGGCTTACTGATGTCTCAGCTATTTATTGTAACAATAAACATGCTCTTAGTTGTGTTTCTTTTGAGAGGGATCAACTTACAGCTTCTAATGAGATCTAGCTCTTGTCTCTAGGGAAGTTCAAAGCACTTTTATGGTAGGTTGATTTGGATAATGGCGAATGAGTGTAATGTTTCTCTTACAGTTGTTATTGTGTGCATCAGCTTTTAAGCTACGAGCATCTTGTGTCTGCTTTGTGGTTTCACAGTCTCGCATAGTTTCGGCTTCTGTCCGCAACTGGGCTGTAGCAGACCAACATAACACACCATTGTTATGCTTTTTACTAAAGGAAATGTGTTGCTCTAGTCTAGGCAAATGTAAAGCTATAATAATACCCAAATGTATCCGTTAGCATTATTTAATTCCACTGCTATTTTCTATTTAAATTATACTGCATTTCATACAGGAGTTTCATCCCGTCTTATATTACACATTTGGGAAAGCTCAATGAAGTGTCTCTGTTATGGCAAAGCCTCTCTCAAATGATGTTGAAATATAAATCGGCACATGAAGTGAAATGGAATTAAAGGGGCTCATTCAGAACAATCCTATATTAATCTGACGATAGGGATATTTACAGGGGACAGTGCAGATAAACGGCAAAATGAAATATGTAGATTAACATAAAATAAAGAGACAAGCACATTAAAAAACAAATAAGTACACAACCAAGGTAGCAAAATAAGTAGCAGCATTATCTCAGTAAGTAAACAAATAAAGTTGTCTATGTAGCAGACAGTAACAACATCTCTTAGTAGTTAAAAAAGTATATTACTGTTGGGGAAATGTTTTCCAAGACCCAGTGTATCAGTTCAAACTGTCCTGACTGAGCACACACACCTGTAACCTTGGCTGCTGTGCTCTCAGTGTTTTGTCTCCCTGTTCCTGCCTGCTGGCGCCTGTTATGATTCTATCTTGTTATGCACAGTGTTGATGATTCTCTCTGAACTAGCTAAATACATGGGTCTGGGGTAGAGTTCTTCAGAATTGACGTGGCAACTCTACCGTGAAGTCAGAACCTCTGACTCTTTGACTTGTTTTGTGAATTCTCCGGCCGAAGCTCCAAATAAACCGTCAGTGTTTGCCATCAAAGCTCCAGCTCTCCTCGTGTCTCTCTGAGTCCTGACTCCTTCAGAAGTTTCCCCCACAATTACCAAATTCAGAAAATATCTTTTGACTGAGGGATTGATTCCACCTCAGCAGTTAGCAGCTAACAGTGCTAACACTAATAGCATTGCGACAGAGCTAACTATGGTAACCTAAGGGGGAACTGGAGTGTGGGCGTTATGCATCCACAACGAGGGTCATCATGTTGACAATCATTTCGTTGACCTCTTGCTCTGCTCAGAATACCATTATTCCACTATATTGTTACATGGAAAATAGTTATTTTCTGCTATAGTAATGTTCTGAATGTTTTGTAGATAACTTTTTGACTTTACCGATATTTCGAATGTACAGTAACAAAACAACAGTTATATCCTGTTTTGCTTACGCTATGCAACTCAGCCATTCATGAAGCAAGCAGTGCATCCTAAATGACCCTAGAGAAACGTTGTTTATTCATTTAATGTCCTTGATTGCTCAACAGGTTAGCAGAGACCAAAAGCTAAAAGAAGAGTGATTATTGAAATGTAATAAGGGGCTGTCACTGTCTATATGGACTGGATTTTGGGTTAGGGAAAAATGACTTCCTCTCATGGTGTAGCTGCATCCAATAGTGAGACTTTGACCAACCTAAAATGATCTCATCAAGGGTAGTTTTATGGAGACCTAGGAAAAGTAACTTTGCTGTTATGGATGCAATGTTTGTATTGTATACTAAAGTCCCACAAAATAGAAGTCTAGGGGAGTCCACCAACTCCTACGCATCTACCAGCGTATCCAACCTGGTATCCCATGAGGGGTACTAGTTGTCCTGTAGCAGCACGTTGACAGTCCCGTGGTGTATGGACTGTGAATTCCCCTCCTCCCCCCTCCCTCTCGACTATGTGAGAGAGACAGGAAGAGAAAGTGAAAAGCATAATACCTCAGGCTACGTCCTCTCATAACGGGCTGAATTCATTGTAAAACTGTCAGGATGCTGGCTAAATGAGTTCATCCTTCATGGACTTTTTTTTTTTTTTTACTGTTTGCCCTTTCATTGCTCCTCATATCTTTCTTAAAATAAATCCTCTAAAGCTCTCTCTACCTTTCCCCCCCAGATTCTGCCCCACCATTGCTTGTTTTTTTTATTTTCTCATCTATACCCTTCTCTTCTTTCACATGCTTTTGCTTTCTCTCTGAGACTTTTTTGGAACTCTGGTAACCCCCCATGCTGGCACATAGACAGTCCACCTGCTGAAACAGCTGTTTCGGTCGTACAAATGTTCTTACTCTACCTAAGATGGCAGCCGCTTGGCCTTCTGCACAGGGACTCTGAAGGGGAGGATCGTTCATACACTGCTTTTTTGTTGTTGATTGGAAAAGGGTAGTGGTACCTCTGGGGAATGTTGTTGTTTTTCCCCCCTTCCAACCTTACCACAGGAGCTCTGTGTATTTATTCCCTCTGTTGTACCCGTCTTCCTCTCTCACTCTCCGGTTATCTATTTCTCTCATGCCTCTTGTCCGGCCGGTGTAATCGTACTGCTGGGAACACTGAAGCGTTACAATGCATTTGCACCTAATGGAGTCTCTGCCCTGCACTGTTTCTACTATTTTCCTTTGCAATCTATTTAAACGTGCACTATTGTGTGTGCTGTAGAAAGAACTACATGTGTATTCATCATATTTTCAGTTACTTGTTGCCGGGAACCGATGAATAAAGACTAGCTTATACAGTTTGTCGTTAGCTCGAGGTAATGGGATTAGCAGGGTGAAACAAAAGAGTCCTTGTAGCAAGATATATGGGTTTACGTGTTGTATAACGCTTTTCTAGAGCATACAAGAGGTAATAAAAAACAACAACACATTACACTGAGAATACCAGTGCATTAGGGCTGTGCGATTATGGCAAAAATCATAATCACGATTATTTGGTCAATAATTGATATCACGATTATTTTGACGATTATTCATTGACCATTTATTGAACTTTAAAACAAATAATATTTTACCAATAAACAAGATCAACAAATATGTTGAAGCGCTCTTCCAAAACCATACTAAACATATATTAATATGATAAATAAAAATAAATTAGACCAAAATAAATGAAATCAAACATGTTGCAGTGCACTGTCACAACCTACTGAAAACTCCTTAACATATAGCCAACATTTTGGTAAAACATATTCAACATATTCCACTCAGTTAAACGTTGAAGGCTGGCCAACCGTCATGGTCCAGAAGTAACAGGAAATAAATGTTGAACTACAATTTAAGACCAAATAAAAATGTTTAGGCCACCATGGCAAATGCTGGTAGGGCTGCTCATGTCATCTCTTAAAGATTTTTTGCAAGAAACACCAGCCTGTTGACATGGTCTGGTTTCAGAGATGAGCGCAGGCAGGTGACAATATTGCCACCTGTACTGAAGACCCTCTCTGAAGAGGAACTTGTGGCAGTGCTGCCACATATGACACAGGAAAAAAAGAAAAGACTCTGAAGAACCCTTCCTTTGCCATTATATAAAAATAGTGTTGCTACAAAAGTATAAATTAGGCTTACTAATAAGACAACTCAGATCTGAAGCTACATAGTAATCTGCTGCAGCAACAGTGCAATAAAAAAGACAACATTAATAGAATCAAACCCATTTTTTGTTGCATTTTATTAGAGTATAAAAATAAATGCCTTTAAAATAGGATGCAAGCAACACTAGTTTCTGAACTGATAGACTATAATCAATTTAAACAGAACAGATCTTAATGTTTGCATTCTTATACCATTTTGTACAATAATTATCATGAATAAATTCAAACAAACTAAAACTTACAGCAGATTAATAACGGTATCTAAATTGAGTTTTTATTATGTCAAAAACCTGTTGAAATGCTGCGGTTATTTTTACTGTCCCACAAAAGCGCGTCGCAGCCTCCAGGAAAGCTTCTTTCATAACTTCGCAGTCTTTGAAAGACTTCATGTGTTTCGCAAGAACGTGCCTGACACGATAAGATGCTATGGTAGCAGCCTTGCTCTTGTTGTTGGGCCTGGTGAAAATGGACTGCTGTGCATTTAGCTGTCCTTTCAGGCCCCTCCCCTTTTGGAGCGTAGGGCAGAATTAGGAGGGAATTCCGTCTCGTAGCGTTTGTGCACTGTTTTGAAATGCCGCTCCTAAATTACCCTTCTTCGATAAAGCCACGCTCGCATTGCAGATGAGACAGATGGACTTTGAATTGGAATAGATACAAAAATAATGATCCTCCCACTCGGAGTGACAATTATATATTTTGGGCTTTTTTGCTTCTGCCATAATTGCGGTCTTGTGTGTGTGCGGACTGTCACTCCTGTTGACCATCCATGCTGTTGACACGGACAACGTCAGCGAACTAGTGCACTGCTCACCAGCCACGCCCGGACACATGGGGTGAGG